AAAAACTATATGAAATTAAATTATAATTAGCAAAAAATGCTGTGGTTGTTCAGACAAACAACTGTAGAAGCACTGTTATGGACTAGTGCATCAGTCAAAATCATGAGGATTATTGACAAAAAGAAATAAAACATCTTTTAGAAATAAACATACAGTTTCTGCTTTTAGGCATCTTTAACCCTTTGACTCTACTTATGCTTAACCAAATTGTTGACCATATTTTGACTGTTTTGAATAATGACTGCTAAAGTCATTTAAATAATGGCTTACACACACAGCTATGTTGGTTTACAAAAAAATCAAACAAACATAATCCTGTTGCACTATACACTTGATTTTGGTTTATAGTAAAAAATCTTGATAATTAAGAAATTAATCAATAAAATTGATCTTACTCTTTATATTTTCAGATTTTCATAGTATATGTTAAATTCCAGCCTTGAACCATAAACCGATATATCAACCATTTGGTAGATGTTAATATTTAAAAAATTATGGGATGTGTTATAAAAAATTCATTGTGTTAACTCGCAACATTAGGAGTTAAAAAAAGACTTGATCTTTAATATGAAAAATGTCTATTTCATTCAACTATTTAATTAGCTATTTAATTAAATAACTAATTAGTTGATTTTGTTGCGTTTTGGATATAGTGTTTGTTCTAACAGCTCCTTTCTTTTTATTAACCTAAGGGGTTTGCACAAGAGTTAATGTAAGCTGTGCAAACATTAAACTACTGAAAGCAGTAGCAGATAGTTCATCTCATATCTTGAAAATAAAATAAACAGTTTGAAATTGAACTTCGGAACTGTGACTCAAAGCCAACACATATCAGTGATTCAGCATCTACATTTAATAATGTTAAAAGGTTTAATATGTATTAATTAGATTATAAACCAGTGATCCCCAACCTGGACCTGTGGATCATTTTCCCGCCAGAGGGAAAATGATCGGGAGGGTTGCGAATTTTTTCATTTTTTATTGTAAAATTAAATATTTCAATTAAATGTTGTAAATGAATGAGATTTTTTTTTAAATGTACTTACTGTCACTTAATGAATAGGGGACAAAGCAGATGACTTCAGTGTGCAAATCAAGGCAAAGACAGGTGACTAGTGTGTTGGGCATTGAACTCCAGTGTTTTATAAATCTACGTTTTTTTAATGGTTTTATTGTAATAAGTTCGTTAAACTAATATATATTTTCAAACAAATTGAATGCATTAGTAAATACACTTGAAGTAATTTTTTCAATTTATTTTTTAAATATCATTAAATAAAATAAGGAAATTACCCATGGCCACTTTAATGTAAAGAGAAACTGATTCTCGGAGAGGGGTCTGGATGCAGACCTGGTGCAGTGCAATGTGAGCTGCATCTAATGCTTTTTAATGCGCTTACCTAACCCCACCCTTAACCCTGCTCGTCACAGTGACGTTACTCACTCCATTAAGTGCATCATGTCTGACATTGCATCGCTGAGTGATGCAATCTCAGCTTGCATCATAAAGGCTGCATCCAGATACTATTAGATTCTCGCAGTGTCCAAAATAAAGGAGTGCAAAAGCGAGAGCCTTTACTCTCCGTGCGTTCACCATGTTTGAATGAACAAATACTGGAAACTCATATACCGCTAAAAATTTTGGAGGGAATGTGGAGACAACAATTTTTTATGCAATTTTTTATTACTCCTTTATGAATATAAATGTTTTGTTTTTTTTTTAAATATAGACTTTTAACTGATTCAAAAAATAGTATTTCTCCACTTGCGCACACGGACATGCTTAGACAAGACTGGAATACATCACATCCGGTCGTCCAGTCGCATATCGTCTAGTCGCAGTAGTTTAAATATTTCAACGTATCCGCAGGTCAAATTGGATCTGAATATTCCGCAAATGGAGATGATTGGAAATCTACGCAACTTCCGGACGACTCCATTGCAAATGAATGACGTTCAGTCTGTCGCTTGTCGTGTGCAGTGGAAAGACAGCTTAATAAAGTTTGCTATATTTACATTCGGCCCACAGCTCTCAATCAAGTTTGGATTTTGACCCTTCATTAGAAAAAGTTTGGGCACCCCTTTTATAAACCCTACCATTTCATTGGAGTGCAGTGAGTGCACTATTCAGCGCTTCTGAATAGCTGTATTTAAATTTCTGTTGTGCTTTGTCTGTTGCAAACAGACAAATTGCTTATCACTACAAATGTTTTCAAGTAGCATGTTGTTAGGACAAGCGGTTACAGTGTAACCTGCTCACCCATCGTTTACATTCGTAATATTAATATTATTTGTCATTTCGGAGTCTGCTACTGACCACTGGAGGTCGCATTTCAGTCACGGACGCACACTTTGAGAGCTTTCCTGATTGAATGAATCAAATACATGGTTTTCCACCAGGAATTCTGAAATTTAATTGGCTAAACTGGCAGTGGACGGTTAAAAGAACCGAAACAACCGTTTCAGCATGTAATGCACATTTTCAGAGCAGAATAGCGGACTTCAGCATTGTTTTTTAGATAACTAGAATTGTTCACTTGGCATGTTTCTTAAATATCTGCAAACATATGATGGTATTTTTATGCTTTAGAAGACTCACATACAAACTTACATACAGCAGCTTTAACTCTGCTAAACTAGAATTACTCAAACAGATACCAAATATATCAAAACTAAAACTAAATACAAAATAAAACTAAACAAAACAATTAATGAAACAAAGCAAATTGAAAAGTAATATCAAAATAAAAACTACTTTAGAAATGCAAAACTATAATAGCTTCGGTTCTGAGCATCTAAATTAGCCGTAGCATAAATGTTCAGACATATAATTGTCTTTGAAATAATTAACAGCTTTGCTTGGGATTTGGCAACACGAGTTGCGGAAGATCTGCCGCAGATGCAGATGAATGAGTTATTTCAATGCTGGTGGGTGAAAAGTGCCACATGTGATGAATGATCAGGATTAAAAACGGGAAATGGCTCTAAGTGTACACACCGAGGAGGAGGAGGAGGCCTGGATGATGGATTCAGGATAATGTTAGACAGGATATAGAAAGACAAAAGGGGACCAGAAAGCGTCGCTCGCAGTCGCGTACACTCTCACAGTCACACATACTGCGGAGCAGAGGGTGGAGCAGGTTGAAGCTGTGGTTCATTGTTTTGAGGCCGACAGACATCCTGTTTGAAGCAGGAATGAAGCCCCTCGCCACAAGGCAGCTGCAAATAAACCAACACACACTCACACGCAAAGGATGCTGGATTTTATTTAAATGTCCATGCTTAGTTCCCCTCGTTTTACAGTTTAAGCGTGCTTGCTATCATCTGGATCTCAAAATTAGGCGTTGACGCAAAGTCGCTTTTTTTTTTTATTGTAAAATATCAGTTTTAATAAGTACTACTGTATATAGGTGAAAAATATGTGAAATGATTTACATACACATCAGTAGTATTCATGAAACTTTAGGCTAAAAGTACCTCCCAACTAATTCCAGCGAGATTCTGGAGTGTGCATCCAATGAAGTGCATTGATGTTGCTCAATATTTCAGCACCGCGGCATGTGGAAGCATTGTTTTCCCTTTGTTTTTTTCCCCTGATAGGAATTTTAAAAATGTCTTTGTAAAAGTATTATAAGTCATGAACCAAATCGACCAGCTACGAGATTAACTACATTACCAACTTTAATTACAAGCAAAATAGTATGTTAAAATTGGCACAAAAAGACAAAAATAAAATATACATACTTAAATAGAGGTCTTTCTTTAGCTTAGAGAATCAATGAAAGGTGTTGCATATAATCCCTTTACATGTCTTTTATAACCATTTGGGTTTGAACATGATAAAAGAAGGATATGTGGGAGACTCGCAGAGCTTCTAGTAGAAGTCATAGTGATGAATGGGACACTAGACAGGGGCGATTTCTCCACTCGCGTCATAGCAGCTCAAAACACTGGATATACAATGATCGCACTAGTCACGTATAAACAGTTTATGCACAACTGTGTATATTTTAGCTGTTGTGATGCAACACGTGCGTCGGCTCTGCTTGTAAACTCATAAACAAACACCTGCTATTGGTTCAACGGCCGATGTCGATCGATCGGAGCATCCATAATATATATATATATATATATATATATATATATATACAGTTGAAGTCAGAATTATTAGCCAGAATTTTTCAACATATTTCTGAACATAATAGTTTCAATAACTCATTTCTAATAACTGATCTTAAATTTCAAAGGAGGGCTAATAATTCTGACTTCAACTGTGTGTGTGTGTGTGTGTATATATATATATATATATATATATATATATATATATATATATATATATATATATATATATATATATACAGTTGAAGTCAGAATTATTCGCCCCCTTTGAATTATTTTTTCATTTTTAAATATTTCACAAATGATGTTTAACAGAGCAAGGAAAATCCATGCTGGATAAGTTGGCGGTTCATTCTGCTTTGGCGACCCCAGATTAATAAAAAGACTAAGCCAAAAGCAATATGAATGAATGAATTTCCTATTTTTGTCTTGTTTTATTCTCTGAAATAAGAATTCAGTGGTAACTTTGTGTCTATTCCAGATGCATTTTCATTGTGCCTCAATACTCTAAAGTAAAATGGACCTCATGTTAACTTTGGTAGTTGTTCATTATGGCATCGGTTAGAGGTATTTGGCAATCTGTATGTGGGCAGCCACTGTGTTAGATATTCTGTCAGAACTCTGTAGTGTTGGGCTGTTGAAGAAATGGAGCTGTACAGCATTGCTGCCAAGGCCCTGTATTTAATTTCAGTCAATGTGTGAGGGCTGAAAACTGCCTCCCTGTTTATAAACGGCCATGCCACCATTATCATGTTGTAGTGTTTGTACAGCCTTGACCAGTTTAGACTTGTTCTGTAATATCCCATGTCCAGTAGCATAACAAGTGCATTAGTTATACACTAATCAAGTCATTTGTGTATCTTTCCCCACTCACTCTTTAGGCTGTGGAAAGGGAGCAGGTAGACAGCATTCAGCCTAAACTGCAACATGTCAACGCTGTGGGTCAAGGCCTTATTCAAAGCGCAGCCAAACACACTGACACTCAGGCTCTGGAACATGACTTGGAGACCACCAACCTGCACTGGAACTCCCTCAACAAGAGGGTACGCTTGCAGTTTTTTTTAGACATTATCTTAGCGGACTGATAGGAATGCATTTATTAAATGTTCATTTTATTCAATTCACAGGTTGCTGAAAGAATCGCACAGCTGCAAGAGGCCCTGTTGCATTGTGGGAAGTTTCAAGACGCCCTGGAGCCACTCTTGAGCTGGCTGAGTGACACAGAGGAACTGATAGCCAATCAGAAACCTCCATCTGCTGAGTACCGTGTTGTCAAGGCACAAATTCAGGAGCAAAAGGTTTGATTTTATTTAAAAATATGTAGATTATATTATTATATTATATTTTAGATATTTTTATATCATAATTGTATAATATTTTATTATATCATATTATGTTATATTTTTTTATATCATATTATATATATATATATATATATATATATATATATATATATATATACATATATATACATATATATATATATATATATATATATATATATATATATATAATTTTGATTTATATAATATTTATATATATATAATTTTTTTATAATTTAAAAAAACATTTAAATGAATAATATTTTAAAAGTTACTGCAGATGAAAGATAAAAAAAATATCCATTGAATTTAACTGCTGTAAAAATGACCAGATCTTTTTTTTTTTTTTTGCATAAATCTGTTAATCAACCTCAGTCCTGATCAAAACTACTACATTGCTTAGAAAATCACAGGATTTACCTCTTTAATTGCCAAATTCATGATGAAAAAATGACATATTTTCAATATAAAAAGTTTTTGTGGACTGGATTTTTCCTTTTGTCACAGTCTTGGACATGTGTAACATCATTGTCTTTAATTAATTTTCATTTTGTTCTCCCTAATTTACTGTTGGTGGCACTTTTTGCCCCATTGACTTCCATTATAACCACATTTTTTATCACAAATGACATCATATAATCATGTATTTTTGATTGTGAGTAGTTTCTCCTGTTGGGAAAAGGTAACATTTGTCATTTATACTGTTGATCATCAGTTGCACCATTAACCCTTTAGATAAGCCTGTGCAAAAAAAAAAAGTTTAGTTCCTGGATTTTATATGGAGTATCACACCAAATTAAAGTGTGTGTATTTGTGTCTGTGAGAGTGATCTTTGGGCACTTACCTTGATGTGTCTGAAAAAAATCTAAATATGTATCTCAGCTCTCAGAACTTCATGGAGTAAATAAAAACAAAGACTGTTTATTTATGCACCATCAAATGTGGTTATAATGGAAGTGAATGAGGCAAAAAAGCCACCAACAGTAAATTAGAGAAAAAAATTAAATCTAACAAAGCATCTAAGCCAATGTTGTTACTAATTGTTCACATGTCCTGTGACTGTGATAAAAGGTTTTAAAAATTCAGTCTACAATTACTTTTTTTTAAATGGAAAACAATTAATTTTGTGTTTTTTTTTCACCAAATCAGAGACATCAATGATTTAGTCAATTAAAGAGTTCAAATCCTGTAATTTTCTAAACAATTTTGTAGTTTTGAGGTTAATTAACAGATTTATGCAAAAAAAATGATCAAAAATATTTATGTGATGCATTTTTACAGCAGTTTCATTCAGTGGATGTTTTCATCCCGAAAATAACAAAAGGGTAGTAAATTTGCACAGTGCACATGGGTATTCTTTACCAAGTGAACAGTTTTTTTGTGATAAAGTTAATATTTAATATTAAATTAATATTTTAGTCTGTTTGACTGATGTTGATTTGATTCAGCTAAACTATATATATATATCATATATATATATAATTATTATTTTTTTTTTTGACTGTAGTTTTAGATAACATGAATTTGTTTTGGATCATTAACTAAAAATCCCATGTTTTATAAGCTTCTGCAACGGTTGCTGGATGACCGCCGTGGGACTGTAGAGATGATCAGGGCCGAAGGAGAGCGTATCGCTGCTACAGCCGAAACACAAGACCGAGACAAAATCCAGAAACAGCTTCAGAGTTTAGGAGAAAGATGGACAAACCTGCTGGAAAAGGCCAGCGCCAGGTAAACACCATAATCAGAGCAATATGGACACACAGAAACAACCATAAAACCTCTTAATCCAATCTCTGACTCAGAACTCAATCACACTGGGTCGTAAACCCACTGGTTATAAGAACATAACACAAGCATGTGCTTCTCATGTCACGTCCTCAGGCAGAAGCAGCTCGAGGAACTGCAGGTGCTGGCATTACAGTTCCATGAGGCCGTGGAGCCGCTCAGTGAGTGGCTGAGCGCAACAGAGAGACGCCTGAGCTCTGCTGAGCCAATGGGAACCCAGACATCCAAAATCACACAGCAGATTGTAAGGCACAAGGTAGAGTATACACAGCAGAAGATAGACAGAACCGAGATCTGTCATTTTAGCAAGCTACTTTCAGTGTCGAGGATCATTAGACTGACTAGAAATGCAGAGGAAGAGAACAGATTGTGAATCTCCTGTGGTTTTAAATGAACCAGTAGGAGTGTGGTTATCTAAGAAGACATGAAATTCAGGTCTCTGGTCGTGATCCTGCCCACATACATCTCCATTTCATTATGGTTTCATTTTTTATGATTGTGTTTCATTTCATTTTGTTTTGATCCATGTATTTTTTTGTTAATTATGATTTGTCGTTATTCTGCATTGTCATATATGTTTATGTTTGCCTTGTCTTTTTTTTTCCTTCTTCTTATCATCCAATCGCATCTTTTCTTTACTCTGGGCTACTATCCCAGGCTCTCCAAGAGGAAGTCTCCTCTCGAGAGAATAATGTAGACCGTCTTGAGAGTCTCAGCCAATCGCTCCATCCGCTCAGCTGCGCAGCCGATCAGGATTGGCTGGGCGAGCGTGTGGGTGCAGTGCGCAGCGGGCACACAGAGCTGCGTGATTGGTGCGTTCGGAGAGAGGCCATGCTGGAGCAGGCGCTGGCCAATGCACAGCTGTTTGGAGAGGAAGAGGTGGAGGTCCTGAACTGGCTAGCTGAGGTGGCCCAGAGACTGGCTGAGGTCTCAGTGCAGAGTTATCAGCCGGAGCACCTAGAGCAGCAGCACAAACACACACTGGTATGATTCTGCAGGTTTTAGCAGCACAGGGTTAAAATATTTTCTGAGTCCTTTTGGAGATGATGAATACTGAGGGGGGAAAAGCAGAATAAAGAATAATACTAGGGCTGCCAGTGAGGTGACCACCGGGTTACTGTTTTTTTGCGGGTCAGAAGATGTTATTTTGCCGTACAATGGAGGGAGAGATACGTTTGACCACATAAACGCTAATATACACTACCTGACAAAAGTCTCGTCGCCTATCCAAGTTTTAGGAACAACAAATAATAACTTGACTTCTAGTTGATCATTTGGTATCAGAAGTGGCTAATGTGAAAGGCAAAGGCTTCTAGATTAGGCTTATTTTACCTAAATTAAAATATGATCATGTCTTGATTTTTAATTCTTTATTAGGACAGTAAGGTCTGACTTTGCTAAGACAAAAGTCTTAAGTCACTTAACAGAAATAATGTGCAGTATAGAATATAAAGTCATGGTGCTGTGGAAAAAAGAATTAATATTGTGTATGACTCCCATGAGCTGGGAGGACTGCTTCCATATATCTCTGCAATGACTCTAATAACTTAATATAGTCATCTGGAATGGCAAAGAAAGTTCATAGAGATTGTTTTGATTTATCTTCAATGCCTCCTCTATCTTACTCCAGACATGCTCAATAATGTTCAGATCTAGTGATTGGGCTGGCCAATGCTGGAGCACCTTGACCGTTTTTGCTTTCAGGAACTTTGATGTGGAGGCTGAAGTATGAGAAGGAGCGCTATCCTGCTGAAGATCTTACCATCACCTGTGGTTTGTAATGTAATGGGCAGCAAAGATGTCTTGATACCTCAGGCTGTTGATGTTACCATGCACTCTGCTGATCTCTCGCACTCACCCATACTGAATGTAACCCCATACCATAATTCGTCCTTCACCAAACTTGATTGAATTCTATGAGAATCTTGGATTTATGCGGGTTCCAATAGGTCTGCATTATTTGGGATAATTGGGATGCAGTTCAACAGATAATTCATCTGAAAGATCTACCTTTTGCCACTTTTCCAAATGATCAACTTGAAGTCAAGTTTTGTTATTTGTTGCTTTCACAACTGGGATCGATGACAAGACTTTTGCAAGGCAATGTACATTATTTGAACTTGCTGATTATGTTAGATCTGGCATCCTTGAGCAGGATGTTCTATTGGTCGGTGTAATTAATCACTATTAAAGGCACAGTATGTCATTTTTCCCACTAGAGTGTGTGTATTCACAACAATCAAAAATGTAGGTTGATGATGACGTGACTGAGTGTGGAATCATGGGAGTTGTCATCTTTATTACTCCTGCAGAAATCATGCTCATGGGTGTGCTAAAGTATTTAAAACTTCTAATTATAATGGTAGTATGAAGCAGAGTTAGACTGAAAGATATGGAAATCAAACGAGAGCGATGAAGTAATTACTGATGAGCGATGAGCATGATGCGGCACAAAAGCAGCAGAACCTTGACTATGTCACAGTCAACCGCTTCCTGTTTTCCTGGTCATGATGATGTGGTGAAGAAGAAAACTTAATTTATTTTAAGATTCTGTTATAGTTCTGTAAAGTTTCTAAAACGCACAGCATATTAAAGTGTCATAGATGTTTTTCTGTTTTCTATAAAATTAAACCAAATATTGAGGGTGAGCATGGCAACACAGGACTATGTCTGTGTCACTAGTTAAAATGGCTTATTTCTCTGGATTTCTTCGAAACATTTGAGATAATGTAAGTACACAAGTCAGCAAAATATATAATACTGTTCTAGCGGTTTATATACCGGTTTATAAGTATTGAACACATCAGTATTTTTCTCAGAAAACATCTTTCTTAAGATAATGTTGACCTGAAATTTTTACTGTATGTTGTTAACAACCAAAGAAGTCTATATATGCAAGAAAAACTAAACTAACTAGATTACAAAGTAATGTGCAATAAAATAAAAAAAATACAAGGAAAAAGTATTGAACACATGAAAAAAGGAAGGTGTAGAAAGGCTGTGAAAGCCCAGACAGCAGCTGAAATCTCTCAGTAGTTCTTCAGCAACTTTCAGTGAATTATTATTCGCTGCTTCAGTCCAGCATCTACATTATTAGGATGATGAACAGAACATCAGGCATTTCAGCCAGACAATGATCCAAAACAGAGCCAGGCAAACTCTCAAATGGTTTTAGAGGGAAAAAAATGAAGCTGCTCGAACTGCTTCTTACATATTGTGCCTTGATCCACACAGGTTCTTTTGCTCTGTCATCATCAGTGGTATGAAAACTGATTTACCGCTATAACTCAAATTTGTTGGCTGCGTTCATGGATATTTAAACACCAAAGGTTATTGTGGTGTGGTTATTTCAGAGAAAAGAATATCAAGACACTGACAAAAAATAAATGGCGGAGACAGTACAAAGCTCCCAATTTTGGGACAGTCTTGCAAAATGCGGGATTGGGTGGTCACCCTAGCCAATTGTTTTATTGTTTCATTTTATTCATTTCATCATTACATTTTAATTACGTTTAAATTCCTTTAAATTATTTCCAGAGCTAACGCTTCTACTACTGGTCCCCTACAGGCTCTTAATGAAGAGATTGTCAGCAGGAAGAAGACTGTGGACCAGGCCATTAAGAACGGACAGGCTCTGCTCAAACAAACCACTGGTACTTTTCCATCTAGTCTCTGCACTCATTAGCGTATAACTGAATTCCTCCTCTGATTATGATCATGTCTGGTCTGTCTGTCTGTCTGTGACAGGCGAGGAGGTCTTGTTGATCCAAGAGAAGTTGGATGGCATCAAAAGTCGCTACGCTGAAATGACGGCGGGCAGTAGCAAGGCCCTTCGGACCCTGGAACAGGCCCTTCAGTTGGCCACACGATTTGCCAGCTCACACGATGACATCAATCAATGGCTGGATAGAGTGGAGGCGGAGCTTAACAACGCTGAGCCAGACACAACACCAGCCTATCAGGACAGACAGAAGGTGAAGGATGTTTTCCAGCCACTTTTTTTACTTAATTTTAGTATTTGTTAGATCAAATTAGGGGGTGGTTCAGTGGTTAGCACTGTTGCCTCACAGCAAGAAGGCCACTGGTTTGAGTCCCTGCTGGGCCAATTGGCATTTCTGTGTGGAGTTTGCATGTTCTTCCTGTGTTCGCATGGATTTCCTCAGGGTGTTCCGGTTTCCCCCACAGTCCAAAGACATGCGGTACAGGTGAAATGTCTAAACGTAGTTTATATGTGTGTGGGTGAATGCGAGAGTGTTTCCCAGTGCTGGGTTGCGGCTGAAAGGGCATCTGCCTAGTAAAACATGTGCTGGAATAGTTGGCGGTTCATTCCGCTGTGGCGACCCCTGATAAATAAGGAACTAAGCTGAAAGAAAATTAATGAATTAATGAATGAATGAATAACTCAAATTAATGTCATTACTGAATGTGCATGTCTGGCTCAGGAGCTGAAGTGTGTTTCTGCTGAGAAGAGGTTAGTTCTGGACACAGTGAATGAGGTGGGCAGTGCTTTACTGGATCTGGTACCCTGGCGTGCACGGGAAGGACTGGACCGCCTGGTTGCTGATGCCAATCAGCGATACCGCCAAGCAGACGAGACCATCACACAGAGAGTGCAGTTAGTGCAGGCTGCCATCCAAAGGTCACAGCAGGTACTGCAATAAATACTGCACAGATGCATTTTTTTTTCAAAATATAATTCTGTAACTTGCAATATTTGAGAGCTTACAATACTATTTAAAGAGGAGAAAAAAAGTAATAATATATATAATGCTTTCCATTTATTCCGTAGCCCCTTTCTGTTTTTTTAGTTTTAAAGAGAAAGTAAGGATTTCCATCTTCCAGGTTTCTATAACAATTACTTTCCAATCTTCTAAAATAGGAGGGGTTGAAGGAAGCCATTTACGTGTAATAGCCTTCTTAGCTGCAACCAGAAGTATTCTCCATTAATATGTGTCTCTAGCCTCATGCAAATCAATAATTCCTAAGTATAACACTGAAAAATGAAACTGGATTTCGATCTTCAATCCACAGATGCATTTTAAATAATACATTTTGCAACAAACCCTATTGTTCAAAAACATATTGTATACCGCTATATACAATTACTAGGGCCAGTATCGGTGGACATCTTTTGCTATGTTTGTGTAGAATTTAAGTGGATTTATGTAGAATGATATGAAAGTATAGTAACTAAAAACCTTTTAAGGTTTACGATGCAAATCTGATTAGAACTATTTGTTTTGGTTAACAAAGTCTTTCATATGTTTCCTGAAAAACAGAAAATATTACTTTACAAACTATTGTACATAAATCAAATAAACAATAAATAACAATAATAATAAACAATAATATTACTAAAATTAATCAAATAAAATGTTTTGTGTGTGTGTGTGTGTGTGTGTGTGTGTGTGTATAACATTTATATATACACATTTATATAAGTCAAATCAAACTAATTATAAAAAAACTTTTAAAAACACAGATGTGCTGTACAGAAATATACATCATAATAAGCATAATAGTGTATAAAATATAAGGTAAAATATAGTTAAACTATCTAAAAGGCATATAAATTAAAATAACCAGTTAGTAAATTCAGGTGTCAATGAAAAAAAATTGTTTTAAGAGCTGATTTAACTTAAAAAAGAGGCCTGTCTAATGAGCAGAGGCAAATTATTACATAGTCGAGGACCTACGACAGCGAAAGCAAGGTCCCCTTTATGCCTACGCTTTGTTTTTGGCACTGATCAGCTGAGCCAAGAGAATGAGTGTGCTTAAAGGGTTGTATCAGCTCAGACATATAAGGTGGGGCAAGACCATTTAGAGATTAAAAACAAATAAAATAATCTTAAACTGTATTCTAAAATGCACTGGCAACCTATGAAGCGAAGCTAACAAGGGGCACCAATTAACTGTATCATTGCAAATGGGCAATAGCTGACCCGCTACTCCCCACATACAGTGCGTTACAGTATTCCAACTGAGTGGTTAAAAAGCATGGATTACTGTGTCAAACTGTCAAAAATAAGTGTTATTAAGTGTAACTTATTAAGTTATTAAGCTTATTTCAGATTTCAGAGGGGCCTAACAATTACTTTATTTTATAATTTTTGTTAATTCAGCATATTCATGCAATATTTAAAATGTTATTATAAATATGTAACATCAGTTGTTTCTTTCATAATATTAGATTTAGGACCGTGCTGCTTTGGTAATTTTGTAAATATTTCTGTTACACTTCTCTTTTTTTTGACTGTTTATATATGCGTGTCATTGTTTTAGTATGAGGAGGCGGTGGACGCAGAGCTGACGTGGGTTGGAGAGACAGAGAGGAAGTTGGCGTCTCTGGGGCCTTTGAGTCTGGAGCCCGACGTGACTGTGGCTCAACTCCAGGTGCAGAGAGCCTTTAACATCGATATCATCCGTCACAAAGACACCGTTGACCAGCTCCTCAAGACACGAGAGGACATCCTAGAGAGCTGCAGCGAACAACAGAGAGACGCACTGAAGGTGAGCACAAAATATAGAAGAGCAAGAGAGCGGGGCAGAATAAGCTGTGCAATGTTTCTTCTGAGAAAGGTTCAATTAGGAAAATTGAATTGACGTGACTCATCCATTTTCCGCCGGAGATTTGATTTGTTGAGTCATGTTTTAAGAAAAACAACAGTTGCTTTTTCTGTCTCTTCAAAGAGTAATTTGGTTGACCCAGTAAAACCTCTTTTCTCCTGCTCCTGTAGGTGAAGACGGACTCTTTAAGTGCTCGTTATGAAGCAGTAAATCAGAGTCATGCTGAGCGTTTCTCAGCTCTAGAGCAAGCGCAGGTGCTGGTGGCGCGTTTCTGGGAGACGTATGAAGAACTCGAACCCTGGCTGGGCGAAACTGAGACTCTGATTACCCAGCTACCCCCTCCTGCCATTGACACAGAGGCTCTCAGACAACAGCAAGATCAGATGAGGGTGAGTGGGTGACATTAAGAGGACAAAGTTGAGTCCCATTTGCTCATTTGTGGTTGTAGACATGAAGTACAGTTGAAGTCTGAATTATTAGCCCTGCTTTATTCTTCTCCCCAATTTCTGTTTAATGAAAAGAAGATTGTTCTCAACACATTTCTAAACATAGTAGTTTCATTCTGTAGACGGTCAGAAAAAAAATGCTTAAGGGGGCTAATAATACTGACCTTAAAAATGGCTTTAAAAATATTAAAAACTGCATTTATTCTAGCTGAAATAAATCAAATAAGACTTTCTCTAGAAGAAAAAATATTATAGGAAATACTGTGCAAAGTTCCTTGCTCTGTTAAACATAATTTTGGAAATATTTAAAAAAAGAAACACAGCAGGGCGAATAATTGTGACTTTGACTGTATATAGGATTACATTACTTGTTTTTTTCCTGTCTAGCTCCTGAGAGAGTCCATCGCTGAGCACAAGCCACACATCGACAAACTGCTAAAGATCGGCCCACAGCTGGCAGAACTGAGCGCCCAGGAAGGGGCAACAGTGAGGCAGCGCTATAATGAAGCAGAGAGACGTTACATGCGCATCAAAGAGGAAGTCAAAAGTCGAGCCACTGCACTGGATGAAGCAGTGTCACAGTCCGTTCAGGTATTTTCTGGAAAATGTTTGAATGCTTACTTTGGTCTGCTGCCCAGTTTGTGATTGTATGTAAATGTTGCAGCCCACAGTTTACTCATTTTATTATCATTACAATTTCTAACACACACAAGTTCTTTTAAAGGGATTGTTTACCCAGAAATTAACATTGACCCATTTACCCTCAAGTGTAGGGCCAGACAGAATCCGCTGACTTTTTTTCTGTGCTGTTTTTTGTAATGAATGCAGAATGAATTTGAGAGTATAGGAGCTTAAAATCTAATACAAAAAATTATAATAAATAACATTTATTTAAAGTTTACAGTCAAAATCCAATAAGAACCTCCCCTGTGGTATACACAACAGGTCTCTCATACAATACATCCACTAAAAGACATGTACAAGTATCTGTTTCTGCACTGTCTGGAGCCAGCGCCTAAACTTTTCACCCATCATAGTACACATGCTGCTGATGATGTGACAATAAAAGTGATGTAATTTGATTTTACATATGCATATTATTAAACAATGCTGATATAAAGCTAAACAATTATATATTTACACGCATTTTCATAAGTAAAAAAAATAGATTAGACTCAAAAATCTGTGAAAACCTGCAGATTTCTACTGTGGCAAATTGTATATGGACCTTTCATATGTTTACAGTTTTATAAGTTTCTTTGTCCGTTTTTTTCTGAACACAAACTAAGATTCTTTGAAAAAATTCTGAAATTATAACCACTGACATCTAGTGTAGGGGAAAAATACTATGGAAGTCAATGGCACCCGATTCTTACATTCGTCTTTTGTGTTCAGCATGAAAAAATGTAAACAACTTTCATTCATTCATTCATTTTTCTTCGGTTTAGTCCCTTATTGATTGAGTTCACCACAGCGGGATGAACCGCCAACTATTCGGGCATACGTTTTACGTAGCAAATGCCCTTCTAGCCGCAACCAGTACTGGGAAACACTCCACACAGAAACACCAACTGGCCCAGCTGGGGCTTGAACCAGCAAACTTCTCACTGTGAGGTGACAGTGCTAACCACTGAGCCACTGTGTCACCCTATTTACAATCATTTATGAAAATCTGCAGATGTCTCCAGTCGCAGATTCTATGTGGACCCGTTATGTGTTTCCAAACCTTTATAAGTTTATTTTTTCCTGTTGAACACAAAATGAGATGTTTTGAAGAATGTTGGGAAGTGGCAGCTATTGACATCCAATGTAGGGGAAAAGTACTATGGAAGTCATTGGCACCAGATTCCTACAATCGTCTTTTGTGTTCAAACAAGTTTGTAAATGATTAGTTTTGTTTTTTGAGTAAACTATCCCTATGCGCTTTATTAAATCAAACACGTCACCTATAATTAAGGTTGTCTTTTAAATAACATGACTGACATCATCATCTGACTGTTTATTGATTCTTCCTGCTGGTCTGTTGCATGCTATTGAATTAACACATTGTACTGTTTCTCCACTCAATCTCTTCAAACTGTCATGTGCTCCCATATCCCATCACCCATATCCCTAAACTCCCCTTATCCCTGCTTGTTGCAACTCTCCTCTTACCCTCTCCCTGTCCATCCCATGTCCGTTTGGTCCATCCGTCCACCCGTCACTCATGTTTGTGGATGTGCTGTGTGTGTGTCCATCCCTCCATCATCACTGCTCTCTGCATCACCCTCAGCTGGTAGAGGTAAGAGCACCGTATAATACACCCATTAGTGATCTAACATCTGTATTAGATTGACAGTGAGGTTTTCAAATCATTTAGATGAGAATGTGGAGTAATTTTAGAGTCAAATATTATAGGAAATAGTGTGAAAAGTTCCATTCTCTGCTAAACATTATAGGGGGATATTTACATTTTGACTCCAACTGTATATTGAACACATACTTACCTAAAAAGCAGCGGGTTATGTAAAGTAGCCACATGTGAAGGCTACATTCAGGGGTCGTTTAAAGAATTCTGTAGCACCTAGTTATTTGTTTAATATCTCAGTTTATGTAATGATTATAATAAGTACATAGTTTGCACATGTAAAACAGGACTGTGAAATAAGGTGCATCCCCAGCTGACTTATAGACAGTATCTTGTTAGTAATAAACATGTATAAGATAAGCTCAGTCAGGAACATGCTGCCTTCATGTATGACACAAGCAACGTAAAAGTTCCAATATGTATTGAGTATTTTTAAGGCTAATATACTCTCCAAACCTGTATATGTCTGTTCAATATACAGCAATACTGTGAAACACTGTTACAATGTAGAATAACCTGTTGTCATTTATCATCATGAAGGTGTCATTATTCTAATGCGTTTTCTGTATTAATAGTAGTAGTAAGTATTCCTTCTATAACACCATCTTCTACCCTTTAGCATGTGTCTGAGATACATCTCTCCTGCACCACTTACTTTAGTGTGCTGTATGTGCTCTGACCATCGTCATCTCTCTATCATTTCAGTTTCATGATAAGATGGACCCTCTGTTGGAGACTCTGGAAGGCGCAGTCCAGCGCTTGCGGCAGCCTCCTCCAGTGGCCGCTGAGGTGGAGAAGATCCGGGAACAGCTGGCGGAGCACCGGGCCACAGGTCTAGAGCTGGACAAACTCCTGCCATCGTTCAGCGCTCTATGTGCCCGAGGGGAAGAGCTCATCAGTCGCGCTCCACATGATGATCCTGCCGCCCAGGGTAAAAATCTTTCATCTCAAGTGACAGACACGTATGAAATAAGGCCTGTGTTCTGATCAATGTGTATTTTGTTCTTGTCCTCAGCGGTGCGTTCACGACTCTTGCGGCTGCGCTCCCTGTGGGATGAGATCAGACAGAGAGCAGAGGAGAGAGAGGGAAAGCTTCAGGATGTACTAGATCTTGCTGGAAAGTTTTGGGCCGACATGGCTGCTCTTCTGAGCACGCTCAGAGACTCTCAGGACATCGTCAAAGATCTGGAAGACCCGGGCGTGGATCCTTCACTCATAAAACAGCAAATAGAAGCAGCAGAGGTCAGTCAGGCCTGCAAGAGAGTTGAAACAAGAGACAGATTTTTTTGGTAGCACTTTAGTACAGGTCACAATTCATGCCATTAACTACTGTGCCTATTATTAAGAGGTTAACTGTTCATTAGTAGTTATAAATATGATATGATTCTGCATTTCTAATTTTACCTAAGACCTAAACTCAACCTTACTAACTGTTAATAAACAGCTAATTAGTAGGTTATGAATCTAGTAGTGTTAGTTAATGGTTTGTTAATACCATAAATTTTGACATAAACTAAAATGTTAACTTTTTTTAACTAAAGATGTACTAAAGTGTTATATTGGCAGATTGCCTGAGTGATTGTCAATTAATTGATCTTTTTTGTGTGTGGGGGTCAGTGGTTCACAATAGACTTTTAAGTGGCCTATATGAATAAAAAGTACTAAAATAACTATTGGATAATATTATATTATTATTAGGGATGTCTCGATTAAGTTTTTTGCCCTTGAATCCGAATCAAATTATTTTGAGTATCTGCCGACACTGAAACCCTATCTAATACTTCTATAATACATAAAAAAGAGCGAAGAAACAGATCCAGGATGTTCCTAATTTTTTAACTCACCTTATTGTAATATTCAACAATTCTGTTAACAAGCAGATCTCTTCAGTGAGGTATTTTGAACAATTAAGTAATAAATAACATCAATTCTTCACTTTTGGACTTTAGTGCAACAGTGAATATGAAAAAAAAAAATTTAATATAAAAACAAACAGCATCTCAACTTAAAATACCTGGCAGACAATCCCAAGTTTACATATCTCTTAGTTTGCTATAGCAATGTTGTGTCATCAACTTAATTATACCTCCAGACCGCAGACATACTCACGCTTTCCCCTTCAAGCTGCTTCCATGTCTCCTTTGCCGGCATTTAACCAATAGCATCTCTGCAACAAAGTGATATGATGGCGCATGCTTTGCTGTTTCTGTGTGAAGTCAATAAAGAGGTCTAACTCTGTGCCACCGCATAACTATAGATGTGTTAAAAAACAATGAGAATATATATATATATATATTCGAGTCCTGATCGATGGGAATGTCCGATTCTGATCTAGTCTGTGTGATAGGGCACGGTTTTCAATTACGTGATCGGATCTGGACATCCCTAATTATTATTTGAATGTTATTGAAATGTATTATTGTAATTTGTAAATAACCATAACTGCAGTCAAAGTAATAGCTGTAAAATTGTCTAAATAAAAACATATATACAGAGTGGGTAATTTATATGGATACACCTTAATAAAATGGGAATGGTTGGTGATATTAACATCCTGTTTGTGGCCCAGTATCCGTAGTTTCAGGTGCTTCACATCTTGTATCTTCACACCATAGACAATTGCCTTCAAATGACTCCAAAGTTAAAGTCTAAGGGGGTCAGATCGGGAGAGCTTGAGGGCCGTTCATCTGGCCCAAAATGACCAGTCCACTTTTCAGGAAACTGTTCATCTAGGAATGCTCGGACCAGACAGCCATAATGTGGTGGTGCACCATCTTTCTAGAAAAACTTAGGGAACGTGCCAGCTTCAGTGCATAAAGAGGGAAACACATCATCATGTAGCAATTTCAAAAATCCAGTGGCCTTGAGGTTTCCATTGATAAAGAATGGCCCCACTACCTTTGTTGTCTTTGGTGTGAAGACACAAGATGTGCAGCACCTGAAATTACTCATACTGGAAGCCTGTTCTGGCATTTCTTCTGCCGTGTTGCTATCAGTGTGTGAAGAGTGGGAGAAGAGGGTTGCATTGACAATACAGCACAATGGGCAGCACACTGAACACATTTTATAAGTGGTCAAAAACTTGTAAATAACTGATGAAAGAACAAAGTTACCTCTTCCTATTGAAAAAAACAAAAGTTGGATCCAAGATGGCCGACTTCAAAATGGCCACCATGGTCACCACCCATCTCTAAAAGTTTGCTCCCTCATATATACTAATGTGCCACAAATAGGATGTTAATATCATCAACCATTCCCATTTTATTAAGGCGTATCCATGTAAATGGCCCACCCTGTATATAGCATCATCTGCTGTGTAAAACATATGTCGGAATAGTTGGCAGTTCATTCCACTGTGGCACCATCTGATAAATAAGAAACAAAGCCAAAGGAAAATGAATGAAATCTACAAATATGTAAATGAGTAAAATCTAAACTCTATATGCGTACTGGAATGTATTTATGCTACTGTATCCTAATATAACAATAGTCAATAAGTTCATAAACTGATATAAAATTAAATGAAATAAAGAAAATATTTAAATATTCCATAAGACTAAGGAACAATATAAATGGATGACTAGTGTAGCCTGTGTGTTCAGTTTAATAAAAGGCTTTATGATGGATAATTAGACTAGACTTAACTCTATAATGTTGTGTCAGGACAAATATTACCAGAGTGAGGTCATGATGTTTTCCTTTCTCACTCAGGCCATTAAAGCAGAGACAGATGGGCTGAGGGAGGAACTGGAGATCGTACGAACACTCGGAGCTGACCTCATCTTTGCCTGCGGAGAGACTGAAAAACCAGAGGTCAAGAAGACAATCGATGAGGTAAGAGGCTTGAAGAGTGATTAGCCAATGGGAAATGGTCAAATTGATCACGTTCAATAAAATATCTCTGTTTTATCTTTACATTACAGATGAATGGCGCCTGGGAAGGTTTGAACCGCACATGGAGAGAGAGAATGGAAAGACTGGATGAGGCCATGACTGCCTCTGTGCAGTACCAGGATGCTCTTCAGGTGTCTATTACTCTGATGCAATCACAAAAACTACTCTGATTGCTCATGCAAACTGTTCTCAATCATCAATTTATGTCTCCTCAGGGCATGTTTGACTACTTGGACAATGCTGTCATCAAACTGTGTGACATGCCAGCCGTCGGGACAGATCTCAGCACTGTCAAACAACAGATTGAAGAGCTCAAGGTTGGAATCAGATCTTATCTCCAATTCTCTCTCAACAGAACACCATGAGAAAAAGATTGACACTTTGTCTTTGTACATTACCAGCAATATAAAGTGGAGGTGTACCAGCAGCAGATTGACATGGAGAAGCTTTCCCACCAAGGAGAGCTGCTGCTCCGGAAAGTGAGCGATCAAACAGACCGAGACATGATTCAGGAGCCTCTCACCGAGCTTCGACACCTGTGGGACAACCTGGTGGACAAAATCACCGTCAGACAGGTGAGGGAACAGAGATGTTTTTAATGTGTTTGGTTGGTCTGATCAAAAATGGACAAGGCTAAATACACGAGTAAATGAAGCTTTTGTAATTTGTAAAATTTTTTGTAATTGTCCACTTCCAGAGGTTGGAAGTGACAAAGTTGAACAATTGTATCTAAACTACACTGCAAAAATGCTCTTCTTTCTTAGGGCTCTATTTTAATGATCTAGGCTCAAAGTCTAAAGTGCATGGCGTACAAGCATTAAGGGCGTGTCTGAATCCACTTTTGCTATTGTAAGGATGGAAAAATACCCTCTGCGCCCTGGCGCATGGTCTAACAGAGTTGTGCTTATTCTATTAATGAGTTATGGGTCTGTTTTGAGTAAACTGTGCACAAAACCAGTCAGAGTCTCATCTCCCATTCCCTTTAAGAGTCGGTTGCGTTGTGCCATAGCACATTAGCTATTTACATGGCAGGAAAACAGTTAAACAGATCATCTGCGACCCTCTGCAAAAAAAACAGTTATATCCAAACACACGTCCTATTCTTATGCCCCATATGGTGATGCAAACGTCTCCAAAATCCGATCTAAACTTGTTTTTATTAAAAAAATATATAAATATGCATATAATGAATAATACTGCTAATAATGATAACATTTTATAAATGCAAATTGTCACGAATAAACTAAAAAAAGCCCCCCAACATGAAGAAGGCAGTGGTTTTTATATTCATGTAGTAAATAATAATTTTTGTAATATTTAAATTCTTTGATTTTCTTTATCTGTACAGATATTTGTGAATTGCTTTACATCCTGTGTGTATTAAGCAATGTGTAAGCGTTTGGACCTGCATAGGCATATAGCTAACGTGCGCTGCGCTGGACTTTAGACCAGCTTATAGGTGGTCAATGGCGCAGTTAGTATTTCAGTTCCTCAAAATAGCAATGTGCCAACAATGCGCTTTAACACAACTCTATTTTAGTCCAGCACAAACATGAGTCCACAAAGTGGTGCAAATGGATTTGCCATTTAAACAACATGGTGCAAAACATTAAAATTAGGGGTTGCGCTGGTCTGAAAATAGCAACAAATTGCGCCAAACACACCTTGCACCTTATTGCACCAGGTGTATGATAGGGCCCTTTGAGTTTTTGTCTTGTTTCTAGTCAAAATATTTCAACATTAAGAAGCATTTTCTGGAAAAGCAAAAAATATTGTCTTGTTTTCAGAAATAAGTCAATTAAGCGAGTTTTTCTCTTAAGACTAGCTGAATAAATTGCCAATGGGGAATAGTTAAATAGTCTTATTTCAAAGTTTATTTTATTTACGCCGCTGGCAGATTATTTTGCCCATTTTAAGGAAAAACTCACTTAAGACAGTATTTCTTTGCTTTTCTAGAAAATCCTTCTTAATTTAAAAATATGTTGGTATTTGGGCAAGACAAAAACAACTAGAAAATACCATTTTTTGCAGTGTATACAGCCTCAGTGGTATAGATTTGTAGAGCACAAATGAAATGCTGCTCTCTGTATTAAATATATAAAATATATTATAATATAGTTTATTTAATATCTCTATAAGATTATTTAATAATAGTAGTTTGAAAGATAGGAAAAAGATCATACATAGAACCAGGCATAGATTGTGCCCACAAAGAGATAAAGAATATAGTCAAAAATGGGCAAAGCAGATGAATTAATACAAATGTACCCCAACTGTATGAATGATCTATCATTAAATTTTTAAACTATAATATAAAATGTAATGTAAATTCAGTCAAACAATTTTAAAACCACTGTTGACATAATAGGTGACGTTACTATACTTGATTGCATTTTGAGTCTTTCTTTTGTCTCTTTCAGCACAAACTGGAGGGTGCCCTGTTGGCTCTTGGTCAGTTCCAGCACGCTCTCTCTGAGCTGCAGTCTTGGCTCAGTCACACTCACGCCACACTGGATACCCAGCGACCCATCAGCTCTGACCCCAAGGCTATTGAAATTGAGCTGGCTAAGCATCACGTACGACACACTGGGGCTTCGTTTTTTGAAAAACCCTGCTTATTTTAATTTCAAAGTAAAGTCCCTTAACAAGCTATCCTCTGTAGGTTTTGAGAAACGACGTGCTGTCCCATCGGTCCACAGTGGAGACGGTGAACAGCGCAGGCTCTGAGCTGCTGGAGTCCAGTCCTGGAGATGAAATCAACCACCTGAGAGACCAGCTGGATGAGCTGAACCGCAGCTGGAAGAACCTTCTGCTGAAGACTGATGAGAGGCAGAAGCTTTTGGAAGCTGCTCTGCAACAGGTGCTCAGGCTATTACTACATCATTATGCAGAGATCAGACTGAATGCATCAGCGAATAAAGTGCATTAGCATTTGTCTTTAGCATTTGCAATGCATTATAATCACGCTGATTTAGTCAACTTATGCACTATGGAGGCTTTCTGTTAAGCTGAGTTCAGACTGCATGATTTTAGCCCTGATTTTGACTCGCTGACAAATTAATCAAAGGCAAATGCCAGACATCACAGGCAAATCTGTGCTCGCTCACGTGAGAAACAATCACACAGTGTAAACTACCACAGGCGCGATCTGAGACAATCACAGATGAGTCGACGATACCTGTCAGATATTTGACACGCTAAATATCTGGAGCTGTCGGCGATTCAAATCATGCCGTGTGAAATGAGTTCTGATTAAAAAATAACATTGGCAATCACCTACAGTAAATAAGAAAGCAGCATCCACTGTTATGGGTATCTGCAGGCCAGCGGGAGGATGAGGGAGAAGTTTAAAGGGCTCATTTTCAGTTTATTTGGACCCAGTGTAAACACAGCAGTGACGAGACGCTAGCCCAGATAATTATGCAGTGTGAAAATATCTGTGATGCTGTTACTAAAATTGTGCAGTCTGAACTCGTTTATCGTTTACAAGCAGTCACATCGCAGGATTATATGATTTATTAAAGATTACAAGATAAAGATATTATTATTTTAAAATCATTTATACTACGATGACCATGTGGTTTTACCTTTGATTGTTCAGAAGATTGTTCAGAGCACAATAAAGCCCTGTTCATTTCTCTTTTATCTTTGCTCTGTTCTATTTATAAATGCTTGTATTTTATTATGATTCATACAGATGCACTGCTTTGAAAAAAGACTAGATCATTCCAATCTATCTAGATGAATGAAATGTTTCCAAATATGAAATGATATTCATATCTCACTATATATTGCAGAAAAACTAAATATTGCAATGTCAGATTTTCCCAATATCGTGCAGCTCTATTTTCTGTGCGTAAACAATGGCTCTCTTTAATATTGTAGTACAGGTGTCGGATCAATTAGCTCATTGTCTTTCCTCTGCATGGTTTCCTTGTCAGGCGGAGGGTTTCCATGGTGAGTTGGAGGAGTTTCTGCAGTGGCTCAGACGCACAGAGAGTCAGCTGTCTGCTGCCAAACCCACAGGTGGCCTGCCTGAGACCGCCAGAGAGCAGCTGCAGCAACACATGGTACACAAAATGAGTTCACCTCTAGACGACATATTAGATAACAAACCACCCTTAAATACACAACCTATAGCAATCTCACATTGTATTCTATTTTGCAAGCCTGATGTTTTAGTTTTAGTTATGTACTAATATTGTTTTAAATAACATAAATCATTTTAAAACTGTGCTAGCACTTTAGTACCAATTCTCACTATTCTTTAGTTGAATATTACTTGCTTGTTATTTAGATATTGACTGTTTATGAGTACTTATAAAGTATATACTACATAATCTTATTCTTTCTCACTAATCCTACCCAATACCTAAACCCAAATACTACATTAATAACCATTAATAAGCAGCATATTGGGAGTTTATTGAAGCAAAATACTCATAGTTATTGGTTTATTAATAGCGATAATTTGACCCTAAGATAATGTGTGACCTAAGCTTTTAGTTTTTGTTAAAAGTAAAACTGTTGCTTAATCATTTTGTGTGCTCTGTTTGTAGGAGCTCCAGGCTCAGTTGGCCCAGCGAGGTGAGCATTACCATCGGCTACTAGATCATGGAGAGTCCATTCTGCTGGCCAGAGGAGGTGAGGATGCTGGACCCGGTACCACCCAGACACAACAGAATCTGGCCATGCTACAGAACAAGTGGGCCAGTCTCAATACCAAAATGGAAGACAGAAGGGTAAGGGAACTGAATGACTTTAATTACATATTTATTGATTAATTAATTGTTCATAAAGTATCTTGTTAACACTTTAGTTTAAGTGACGAAACTCACTTTTAACTACCTGCCTATTATTAGGATACTGTACATATAAAGTACATATTCTAGATTATATTTTTCTTTATCTGTAATCCTGCCCAATATCTAAACCCAACTACTACCTTAATAACTAGCTACCTTATTAAGCAGCAAATGAAGATTTTATTGAGCTTAAAGTTATAGCTAATGTTTTATTACAAGTGGGAATTTTACCTTCAAATAAAATGTGACCAGTGTCTTATTCTGCTTTCCAATGCTAACCTTTCTGCCTCTGTGTCTTTCTCTTTGCACAGGGTAAACTGGAGGAAGCCGTTTCACTGGCGACAGGTTTCCAGTCCTCTCTGCAGGACACTATTAACTGGCTGACACAGGCAGAGCAGACTCTCAACATGGCCCAGCCACCCAGTCTCATTCTGGACACTGTGCTTTTCCAGATAGATGAGCACAAGGTTGGTCACAAATAATTAGTCTGTAAAATATTTGTACGCTATATTATTCACTACTTTATTTAATGTTTATGTAAAATTATTTTGCATAAGTTTCTTTCAAAAATGTTTAAAACAAACTCAGGGTCACAGAATTTTGACCTAGTATTAGTATTTGAATACACCAATGCCCGGTGCCGGTCAAAATGACATAGTGAAGTGAGTAAGACTCGTAGTAGTGAAAACTTTTGATGCAATGAACCTGAGTTTGAATTCTTTAATACAATAACACTTTGTCTGTTTTTTTTACCACCACAAAGTTTGTGAAGCCATTTACTTTAAATATATGTTTATGTAAGACTGTTTTTATGGTTAGGGGTAGATGTAAAGAGGACTTTATTGACACAACAAGGCGGTATACATTTAATAAATATTCTCATTTACAGTATGGTATTATTGCATACTGTTTTATAAAGCATTAAGGGGATAGTTACTTACTTACCTTCATGTGGTTTTAAACCTTTATGAGTTTCATTTTTCTGTTGAAAATAAAGAATAACATATTTTAAAGAATGCTGGTTAATGGCAACTGACATCCATAGTAAGGAAAAAATATTAGTATGAAAGCCAATGGGTGCCAGCATTCTTTAATAATGACAGATTTAATTTTGAGGTGAACTATCCTTTTAATATTGAAGTGCAAATCACATCCAAAAACATTTACATTTAGTCATATAGCAGATGCTTTTGTCCAAAGCGACTTACAATTGAGGAGGAATTCAACAAGAAGAAGCACAATACACAAAAGAAGTGCTAATTATTTAAAGGACCTATTTGTCTTCAGAGAATCAAGTATATATAAAATACACTTATATACTTATGGATTTTAGTGTAAATAGAGTATATTGCCATTTTTACTTAGTGTAAATTGCACATTGCTAGGAAAATACTGCAATTCTTTTTTATTAATGGCATCTGTTACTATTTACACCTGCTGTAAATAACCACTGCCAAATTTTGAATGGTAGTGTACATATGTGTTGATTTGAAAGACTTGAGTCCCTTGTTCTTGTGTATTGCAGGTGTTTGTGAATGAGGTGAACACTCACAGAGAACAGGTTCTGGCTCTGGAGAAAGCTGGCTCTCAGCTGCGTTTCGCCAGTCTCAAACAGGACGTGGTTCTCATCAAGAACCTGCTGCTGAGTGTTCAGGCCCGCTGGGACAAACTGGTACAGAGATCACTGGACAGAGGACGCCACCTGGATGAAGCACGCAAGAGAGCCAAACAGGTCAGTTTTGCTTTTCCTCACTCTGTCTTAGACATATTCGAAATTCATTAATCTTAGGTGATGTTCATTTGTTAGCTATTGCTTATTAATGCTTTAAAATCGTAGTTGTTATAAGCCATATTTGTTTTATCAAATGAAGTTATTATTTAATAAAATTGTTGTATCTTTAAATTTAATTGTATTTTTACGGTAAAGTGTTGCCTATTGTACTTTATTATCCTTTTGGAATTTAATTTGGTTAAAATTTGGTTTACTCTGAAAGTCTATTTGCAATAAAGCAATTCAGTAAGTATTTTTTGTTATTTTACCTATAAAAGTAACTTCTTTGATGAAACTTTATGTGATAACAGCATATATTGTGCTAAATGCTACAGCAATTAATCTCAATAAGAAAATCTGATACCATCATATGTCTACTCTGGTTTGTTATGATCATGTCCGTCTCTGTGTCTGACATCTGACAATCTTATCTAGTTCCATGAGGCCTGGAGGAAGCTGACCGACTGGTTGGAGGAAGCAGAGAGCAGGCTGGACTCTGAGCTGGAAATCTCTAATGAGCCTGACAAGATTAAAATCCAGCTGGCCAAACATAAGGTACCATTAATGTGATTTGGTGAAGCTAAAAACTTTTAGAGTAGTCTCTAACGCCCTCTGTCTGTTAATATCTGTACTGCAGGAGTTCCAGAAGTCTCTTGGCTCCAAGCAGCCGGTTTATGACACCACAGTGCGTTCAGGGAAGGCCATGCGAGACAAGGCCACACTGCCTGCAGATACGCAAAAACTGGACAACTTGTTGGGTGAAGTCCGAGACAAATGGGACACAGTTTGTGGAAAGAGCGTAGAGAGGTGAGAAAGTCTGGAATAAGATTTAAGAGTTACATCATTTGGGAAATGGTTGAACGATGAAGAAATTGGAAATAATATGGGGTTATCTTCTCTTCAGGCAACACAAGCTGGAGGAAGCCCTCCTGTTCTCTGGTCAGTTTGCGGAGGCTCTCCAGGCACTTGTTGACTGGCTGTACCGTGTGGAGCCTCAGCTCGCAGAGGACCAGCCAGTACATGGAGATCTGGATCTTGTTTCCAACCTCATGGATTGTCATAAGGTACAGATGTTGTTCAAATCCTGATATTTTTTAGAAATTAATTATAGCGTTAATTTAAAAACAGTTTAAATCTTCAACAAATCTTAATACCGAGTTTGTAATGTCAATATATACTCACATTTCTTTAAAAGGAATTTTTTATACAGTTATGCATACTAGCTATGTTTCCATCCAAAAATGCTAATTAAATTGATGTGCATAACTGGAATATCGCAAATAAGACATGTTAGTAAAGCAGCGTTTCCATCTAACGAGTCGCAGAGAACAAAATCGTCACTTCCTGATAAACTGGCACCAAACATTAAAAGTAAAAGCAAAATTTGCTGTGGTAGGAGAAGCTGCGCGGATCTTTTCTTTATTTGATGAATGACTTGTGCCTCAGAAAAAAACTAGTGGTTGTGTTTGAAGGCGTGAGACACTAATACTAAAATGATTAAGGCATTTTAGATTGACCAAAACAACATTTCAGATGTTTTACAATGTGCTCAGCCTGCTGCATTGTCCATTCCTGCACATCATAGAATCTCTTATAATGAAATCACATGACCTTTTAGTGTGCATACTGGAATTTGTTTGGTAAAAGGGTTTCAATCGTAGTTTATGCACATCTTTTCTTATTGAATAAGAAGTTTATCCTACTCAGTTATGCGCATGTTTTTATACACATTTTCGAAAATTATGCATCCTGGCATTTCAATCAACGGGTGTCTTTTTATGCGCTCATCCAAAATGCGCATAAAAATAGGTGGATGGAAACATAGCTAATGACACGAAACTCTAAAGGAGTATTTAATATGTTTTCAGTTGAATTATTTATCCTGTTACCACTACACCACCTGCAACTTACATCCTTTTTTTGTCACTATTATAACAGCTTCAGTTTTTTGTAGTATTTTCATTATAATTAGGATTTGTTCAAGTTGCTTTACATGCTTAACTTGAAGTTAGTTGAATTGTTAGTGCTGGAAAACGTAAGGGAAAGGTGATGTTTTTAAATGGTTACCTAAAAAGTGCATGAAATGAATTAAGATGAGACCTATTTTGGTGTATGCATCAAATCACTTTAAAAAAGTGATTTTATACACATAAAAAGCACATTAAATGACACGTTAAAATATGGCTCAAATAATGTTCTATTATCATTCACCCTCTTTCAGCATTAATTCTAAATGCAGCTTAAAATATGTGAAAGTGCTGGAATTTTCCGCTGCATTATTAATGCAGTGAGTACATTTGTCCTAAAGGACATTTCTGAGTGGGAAAGATCCCAACACTGCTGTTTTTATTGCTCTGCAGGTCTTCCAGAAAGAGCTGGGGAAACGGACCAGCAGTGTACAGGCTTTGAAACGCTCTGCTCGAGAGCTGATGGAGACCGGCCGAGATGACACCGCCTGGGTGAAAGTTCAACTGCAGGAGCTGAGCAACCGCTGGGACACCGTCTGCGCCCTGTCCGTTTCAAAGCAGACGCGCCTCCAGCAGGCTCTTAAACAGGTACGGCTGACCCTTATTTACACTTCTATTGTAATGCTTTTGAAAGACGTCTGTACTGCTCAGCAAGCTGATAAAAGAAACAATAAATATAAATAAATATATGCAATCAAAACAACATTATATATTACATCAGTTTAAGTTAAATGCAATTGATTCCTGGAGGGGCGTAACGGACATTTTAAATGTGGGGGGAGGGCAGCTGAATGAGATCCAAAAGTTTACTTCCATATAATTATTATTAATCACCTTTCTAAATCCTCTGACTCTAAAAGTGAGGGGGATATATTCTCCAGTCTCTGAGCATTAGTGCAGTGTTAATCTTTTATTCTGACTCTGTGTTTTCCTGCAGGCAGAGGAGTTCCGCACAGCTGTTCAGATGCTGCTGGAGTGGCTGTCAGAGGCCGAGCAAACATTGCGTTTTCGGGGCGTCCTGCCAGAAGAAGCAGAGACTCTGCAAGCTCTATTGCACACGCATCGAGATTTCATGCAGACAGTGGAGGAGAAGAGAGTGGATGTTAATAAAGCTGCTGGCATGGGCGAAGCCATTCTCGCTGTGTGCCATCCAGACTGCATCACCACTATCAAACACTGGATCACCATCATCAGAGCTCGCTTTGAAGAGGTAAAACACTATCAGAGATGCGCCATCAGAACTCTCTCTATGCCTATGGTCAAAACTAGCATGAGTCATACACAAATTAATGGCTGCGTCCAAAATCACATACTTCCATACCTTATAGTACACTAAAAACAGTATGTGAGCTACGCTATCCCATGATGCATCATGGGAGAATTCATGAATAGGAGTGAAGTGACGCAACTGATGCAGGTAGGGCCTGTGATAATGAGAAATGGTGGATGTAGTAGGTGCAAGTTCCATTCATACTACTCGCATTCGTATTGTATAGAACGTACTTTTCTAACGGTCGGGTAGTAAATTCAAATACAAAAGTAGCACTGAGTAGTAGATTATTTCAGACACAGCCAATATTTCAAACATATATCAAAATATTATATTATATCATGCAATCTCAGGCTAATTAGTATCTTATTTTGTGACTGGTTTTCTACCTCATGTTTTGGCATCACTGTTATATATAAAACAATTGTTACATGCTAAAATGCATTTGTTTTCACATATACAAGCAGCATTTTAAGGCTCGTACACACCAGGATGCTTTTCGTTTGCGTCAGTGTTTTTCCGAGACGTTTTTCTGGATTCAAACCTAAACTATTTTCACTGGCGTCGATCAGAAGAGTATGCTAAATCACTCCTTGGTGTTAGATGGCGCTACACAACTTTAAGCTTCTGACACCCGCTTGTACAAAGAAGAAAAATAATAGGAAAATAAAAAAATAAGAAAGTTAACACACTTGTTGTTAAAGTTACTGGCAATTCAAATGGATATTGTTCACCAGAGCAATAAGCAGCTCCACGTTCATATCGCCTTTGGGCATCGTCTTCAATGTGCGTTCTCATTGACAGTTTTGGGCTTGAGCACCTCAAAGTGCTGTTTACTGTAACTTCAGCAGCTCCATGCACATGAACAAAAGTGCCAATCTGATTGGTGAAGAAGGTTTTGATGCGGCGCATCAAAACAAAACAAAATAGAAAAATGAGCATAAGGCCTTTCTTTAAAAATTACACTTTTACGGCTGGCATTTTGTGCGTTGGTGTGCATGACTACATTGGTGCCCTTTATCTAGTCAAGAGGCGTTAAACGTCAACAGAAAATGTGAGCAAAAAGCGTCCCGGTGTGCACAGGCCGGGACTTCATATTCTGTCACTCTGGCTTAATATTAAATGCATTCTTTAGTGCAATTTCTTACGACTTGATTTTGTCTGTCTTTTTTTTCTGAGGGTAACAGGACTGACATGAAAACTGGGGAAACTGATTTAATTACTTATTACACACATTTTTAATTTTAAATAATTATTATTTTACATAAAATATTGTATACTTGAGCCAAAATCATTGCTAGTCAAAAAGAATATGCAAATGCAAAAAAAAGCAAATTGTAATTTGCTAACCAAATGTCCTGCTGTGTAATAAAAATGATAGCAAGGAACAGGCCAAAACCTTATCCTTATCAGCATAAATTTTAACGAAATTAAATTATATTTTATTTGCTTTAATTCAATTTTATGTTTAAAGTCGATGTGAAATCAAAATTTACAGTTTATTTTGCTAGCATACATTGTTGTTCTTTAAGTAAATGATTAATCATGTTAAACTAGTTAAATTAATGCACAAATTAAAAAAAAATGTTTGTTTTGGTAATCTTAGTCCGACCGTTTTCTTCTGTTTATAGTGGCGGTCATACTGAAATACTGAAATCACATTTTAATAAAATTCACTTTAAAAATATCGCAAATGCATTTGTTGTTAGTGATGCAAAAGGCACCAATTTTATGGGCTGACCCATAATAAGTGATTTAAAAGGGTTGTATTATACAAACACCACATGTTTGATGTACAGGTGCTGACGTGGGCCAAACAACACGAGCAGCGCTTGGAAACGGCTCTGACTGAACTGCTTAATAACGCTGCACTCCTGGAGGAACTGTTATCATGGCTGCAATGGGCAGAAACCACACTGGTACAGCGCGACACTGAACCCCTTACACAGGACATCCTGCAGCTCAAGACACTCATCACTGAGCATCAGGTGAACACATGGCACTACATATTCTGTCACTCTGGCTTAATATTAAATGCATTCTTTAGTGCAATTTCTTACGACTGGATTTTCTTCCATCAGGTGTTTATGGAAGAGATGACTCGAAAACAGCCTGATGTTGACAAAGTGACTAAGACATACAAGAGGAAACCAGCGGAACATCCCAGCAGCCTGTCGGACAGGAAAGGAGCCCGTAAGGATCTTTATCATCAAAACAAAACCTTTACATGCACGACTGTTCAAATGCTTGGAGGTGGTGTGATGTTTTAATGTTTGATAGAAGCGTTTTATGCTCACCAAGACAGTATTTATTTGATCAAAACTAAATTACAACAGTCATTTTGTGAAATATTAATGTTTAAAATATTTTTCATATATTTTAAAATGTTACTTTAATGTCATTCTTTGATAAATAGAATTTTTGGCCAATATACCTTTTATTTGACGAAAGTACAAAGTAGTTAAGTGGTTCCCAACTTTTTTGTCCATAACAATATGTAACTTTTTAAAAGACGTTAATAGTTGATTATAATTTTAAGATTAAGTATGACAGTTTTATATTTAAATAATCATATTTTAAGCTACAATTAAGCTATTATTTTTTACTCACTTTTCATCTAAAAATGTAAATTTTATAGAATATTAAAATATTCACATCTGATTTATATCACGTTTTCAAAGATGAACACTTCTGGTTTTTCAATGACATTTTTGACTTGTTGAAGATTAACAAAGTAAGCAAGTAAGTAAGGTATATAATGTAATTTAGTTGTTTTAGCTTATTCTATTGCTTGTATTCTCCTATTTTTAATTATTTTATGTCTTCTTGTGACCTCCTCGTAAATTTGCTCATCGTGGGCCCTGGATAAATAACCAATCAAAAAAAAAAAGTTGTTAACGCTCACGTTAAAAACAATTGAGCACAGTTACAAAGCAATTAAGACATTCATTATGCGTTCATGCAGAACTTGTAGAGTACTGTGCTATTCTGAGCAGATTTTTCTGTGCCTTTCCTGCAGGTAAACACCAGCAGCAGCAGCAACAGCATCACTCCGTGCAGGTGACGGGTGGTAATCCTCGCCTCACTCAGCTCTGCTCCCGCTGGCAGCAAGTATGGCTGCTTGCCCTCGATCGCCAGCGTAAGCTCAATGATGCCCTCGACAGACTAGAAGAGGTACAACATACAACAATCTCTGTGTACTTGTGGTAAATCAAGAAGGGATGCACTGAAATAAAAATTCTGGGCCAAACATGAAAAATCTTAAGGCACTTGACCGAAAAAACTTTGTCAATTATTTATTGAAATTAGTTATTTTATTGGCTTGTGTTTTTGTTTAATTGATATAATTAAAGTTATTGATTAAAAGTCTTACAAAACTACTCGAGGAGTCACTTTTTTTTACCAGCATTGCCATGACAGCACAGTAGCGTTATTGCAAGCGGCAGGGACAAGTATACTACATAGAACTGTCCTGTCTGTGTGTTATTTGAGCAGACTTTGCGTTACATGCATAGATCAGTGCATGTTCATGAGTGGAATATAGAATATTGAGCTATTTTGAACTTTAACCATTGCACACTCGACCTCTTTTAATCAGCACAGCGACAGACCTCACTTGTGTGGCCATTGAAATGAATGGGTTTCATAGCGCAGTGCTTTCCACATCCACTGCGCAACACAGCAGTATCTACGTTTCCGTTCACTTATTTTTATGTGCATTTTGGATATGCGCTTTAAAAACGGTTGATGCCAAGATGTGCATACATTTTGAAAATACGCAATACGTTTTTTGTTGATATTTGGTGCCAGTTAATCAGGAAGTGACTAATATGTTCTTTTTAGCTTGTTAGATGGAAACGCTGCTTTAATCACATGTCTTTTATGCAATATTCCACTTATGCGCATAAACTTAATTCACATTTTTGGATGGAAACATAGCTAGTGTTTCATTCTGCTCATATTTGCTGCAGTTTTTCTTTTACATCTGTAAACGAAAATGCAATTTTCAGCCGATAATTTTCGGTGGCCAAAAATTCAGTGCACTCCTAAAATCAATTGATGAAATCTGTCAGTAAAAGTAAAAGCTCATGATCTTTCTCCACCAACAGCTTAAAGAATTTGCCAACTTTGACTTCGATGTGTGGAGAAAGAAGTACATGCGTTGGATGAACCACAAGAAGTCACGTGTGATGGACTTCTTCAGACGCATCGACAAAGACCAAGATGGAAAGATCACCCGGCAGGAGTTTATTGATGGCATCCTGGCCTCAAGTATGTGCTCTCAAAGTACATTTTTACGTGTATTTTTAGAATTTTAGTCTTTAGTCTAATGCATGGTCTCTAAACTATGCATTACGTTTGCAGAGTTCCCTACCAGCAAGCTGGAGATGACGGCTGTTGCTGATATCTTTGACCGTGATTGTGACGGCTACATTGACTACTATGAATTTGTGGCAGCGCTGCACCCTAACAAAGATGCTTACAGACCCACAACGGATGCTGATAAGATCGAGGATGAGGTGCGGACCCTTTTAAATGATAATGAATTTTTGATGCATTTAAATGTAACAATTTCAAATGTTTATATTGCAGGTCACCAGACAAGTGGCCCAATGCAAGTGTGCGAAGAGGTTTCAAGTGGAGCAGATCGGAGAGAACAAGTATCGGGTGAGAATTTGGATGCTTAATCCATTTATTATGGCATTTAGAAAGTAAGACTAACACTCAGCAATGCTATGTCATCACCACACCTCCTCATTCAGATCATCCTTGACCCTGCCATTGAAATATTACAATTCTAACCATGCAAGTTATGCAAGTATGAATGGAATAAAGCTGCATCAGCCATTTTGTGTGTTCGCAAAACCACCATAACACTTCACAGCATCATCAGAGTATGTTGTGTGCCTACCACCATCCGACTAATGATCAACCCATAATCCCACTGAATGGTCTTTCATCGCCCAGCATCATTAACCATTGGTTAATGATCTTTGTATTAACTTGTTTCATTGCACAGGCTACAGATCCACGATGCTAACTCCACATCCTGATGTCCGTGCATCTTTGTCTGTCTCTTTCTTACTTCACCTGCTGCGCTTTCCTAATTGTGTTTGTTGTCAAGCAACCACCTGCAAGAACTCCATGCTTCACATGGGAAATTCCATTGTGTGCTGTTTTTAGGAATTGTTAAAAGGATTATAGTTATTATACCAAAACAAAAGGTCAATGTGTGTTCATGTCTGTTATTTCACTCTTTTTTTTTCTCTTTCTTTCTTTTTGTTTTATTCCTCCTCCTCCACACGCACCGGACTTATTGTAGTTCTTCCTTGGGAATCAGGTAAAGTGTGAGCAGTGTTTTTGTGACTTGTCCTCTGAAATCTGTTGCCTCTGCGCAGTTCCCATGAGCGCCCGCTGTAGAAGCTTGTCTTTTATTCTGGGTTTTTTTTCAGACAGCCAGATCTAAATCTGTACACAACAGTTTCTGCATGGGCTTGCTAAGAATTCTCTGTGGACAGGCCACATTCTTGGCTGCTGTCTGAAATGGGGATTTCTTTAGTCCCTTCCTGCTTTCTCAGCGGGCATTTCCTGTCTGGGAGACAAAAATTGCAGTACTATCGCCAAAATATTAAACGCATTTATATATACGCCTTCAGAATCCAGAGGCAGATTTCAAAGGGGTTAGCTTTTGTGTTGTGGTTGGGATGTGCTTGTTTTACTTTATTGAAAATCATTTATCATGATCAGGAAATGGTTCGGATTTACTGCGCTCTCTATTATGATTTTAAGGTTGTTTTGGCTTTTGGTGGTGGAAAACTATCCAACTGCTGATTTCTTGCCTTTGAGAAAATAAACCTTCCACCAAAGCAATTCTTTGAAGTGAAAAAGGACAAACGTCCAGGGAAAAATTCCAGAGAATTGCTGTGGTGTGTGGTGTTTATTGTAGAGATGGGATTTGAGCTGGACATAAATCAAGTAGAATATAAACCAATGTGGTTTGCTGCATGTCGCAGTGTGATTTGCTTTGATTTTCCTGGTGCTTAAGAATGTAATTAGTAGAATTAGCTAATTGTTATATGATTTTAAAGGAATAGTTCACCCATTTTAGTTCTCTTTTTTTCTGTGGAACATAAAAGGAGGCATTTTGGTAACAATTTACAAAAAGGGTGTATTAGTTAATGTTATTTAAAGCATTTACTAGCATGATCAACAATAAACAATACGTTAATTACAGTAATTTTAATTTAACATTTGTTAATGTAAATGAAGTTGGTTAATGTTTTTTCATGTTAACTCACTGTGCATTAACTAATGTTAACAAGCATGAATTTGTATTCATATAATAATAAATTCCATATGAGTATTGGTTATTATTAGCTCATGTTAGTAAATACATTAGCTAACATTAACTAATGAACCATATTGGAAAGTGGGACTGACATTTAAAAGGTGCTGTAAGTTTTTGAGTCTTCTAAAGCATAAAAATAGCATCGTGTGTTGCAGATATTTAAGAAACATGCTAAGTGAACATTCTTGTTTATCTGAAAAAAGCTATATAGTCAGCTATTCTGTTTAGAAAATGTGCATTACATGCTGAAACATCTGTCTTTGTTTTGGTCTTTTAACCCGCCCACTGCAACTTAAGCCAATTATATTTCTCCACCCTGGGTTGCCCTGATGGAAAACAGCGTATTTGATTCATTCATTCAGAAAGGCTCAGTAGCAAAATCCGAAATGAGACGCAGATTCAGAGTTTCACATGAGGGTATTAATTAACAAATAATCTAAATATCATGAATGTAAACAATAGGTGAGCAATAGGTTACATTGTAAGCCCGTGTCCTAACAACATGCTATGTGAGGAGATTTGCAGTGATGAGCAATTCGCACCAGACGAAACACAACAGAAATTTAAATAAAGCCATTCAGAATAGTGCACTTACTGCACTCCAACCAAATGGTAAGGTTTATAATCTAATTAATACATATTAAACCTTTTTTAACACTATTAAATGTAGATGCTGAATCACTGATATGTGTTGGCTCGCAATAAATGTCATGTAAAATGGCATTTAAACTCAAGTATTAGCATTTAACACTGAATAAAGCACATGAGGTGTACCTGAGCTAATCATTGTCTTAGTTCTGTTGTTCACCTGTGAGGAATAGAAGCCGTTTCTAATATATCAATTCGAGATGTGGGTTACAACAAAAACTCCTTTTATTATGGAAAATATTCCTTCTATAGCATACCGTTGCTTTTAGTTAGAACACGGTTTAAACCAGCCTTTAGGCTCGATAGTCAGACTAGCTTCTGTTGGTCCTCAATCTGGCAACCTGCGCTTGCGTGTGTTTTGATCCAGGAATGCAACACCTTCTTCAACCACTGGGTCTCAAACTTACATACTGCACCTTTAAGAAACTGTCATGTATATTTCTTCAGAATTTCTCCTTTTTTCCACATAAATACATTTATTGGGTGAACTATACCTTTTAACGACATTATTAAATTCTCATCTTTTTTTGTTTGTTTGTCCTCTTCCTTTTCTGTATTTTCTCTTTCCTCAGTTCGGAGACTCACAGCAGCTTCGTCTCGTACGAATTCTGCGAAGTACAGTCATGGTTAGGGTTGGAGGAGGCTGGATGGCGCTGGATGAGTTCCTGGTGAAGAACGACCCTTGTCGAGGTAAGTCTGGCACAACAGCTGAACGAAGCCTGATCTTTAGGAACACAAGAAAACAGGGTCCCTGGAAGTGCTCAACACTCTGTCAGACAGCATTATTCTTACTCCCATCAACATGGATTTTGCTCATCATCTTCTTTTCTTTGAGTGTTCTCATCTCTTCAGTCCTCTCTGAGTTTACTCTCATCTCATCTTCCATCACTTCCCCATTACATCCTGACCTCTTCCCACGGTGGTTGTTTTATATGCATGGCCTACACATGTGGCCCATTCTCTCTATCTCCCTGTCATCCTCTGTTTTTTTATTTTCTACAATTGTAGTGCATGATGCATGTTCCTTAGGTCTCTCCCTCCCTCTTTCTCTGCCCCGTCCCCTATCTCTCTTTCTCTCTCCCCAGTGCAACATCCAGGACTTAAAATCCTGCGTTCTGACTCCAGCAGCTCCATATCATCTCGCATAGGTTGGGTTTTTCTCTCTCCTTCTCGTTCAGATTTTCTTCTTTTCTCACTCGTTTGGTTTCCCTCTCGATCCCTCTGTTTCACTCACACTTCGTTTGATTCTTTGTTGCTTTGCTTTGCTTTGCTGACTGTGACACTGATCTAACCAGCCCCACCAATCGTGCTTCGAGAATTCTGGCTCAGTCGTTGACATCACTTCCTGCATTTTGACTTCTGATATTTACACGGGCTATACGTATACATTTTCAAATATTGTTTTTTTTGGCACTGTATGCACAGCTTGTAACAAAACCTAAAAAACTATACATTCCTTGACTTCCATTGATGATTTTAAAAAGCCAAAAAGACTGATTCATGTTTATATATATATATTATATATATTTATACACTTGGGCTTTGGCGCGGTACACTTGTAGAGTGAGTGCAAAACGCGCCAAAGCCAGAAACTGAAAGCGAGACGTGACTTTTAAGGGACTGTTTCATATGGATTAATTACTCATTCTTACTGTTCAGTGAACGCAAACTGCCGTAGTTTATTAAAGACTCAAACTCCTCACTGCACGACAGCTGCGCGCCTTCAGCAGACCTCATCATTCATGCAGCGCGAGGGCTTAATGACTGTTTATGAGCGTCAAAAGTGGCTGATCTGCTCTGCGAATATCTGACTACGTGTCCCCGCATCCCTAAAGACTGTTTGGCGAAATATTTGACTGCATGTCACTACATATTAAACGACTGAAACGATATAACTAGAGAAATCTCCAATGTGGTGCTGAGTGAGAGAGCGCTTCTCACTGAACAGCGCAGCAGCGATGACGTAAGCGTGCTGAGGCCCGATTGTGGTGTGAGTGCGGGCCATCGGGGAAGACGGGAGGGGGGACAAGCGTGCTTTGGCCCGGTTCGTAGTGTACCGGTTTTAACTGTAGTTTTAACTGTACCTAGTGTGAGTACGCCCTTAGACGTCAAACGAACCTGGGTGTGGACCAAAAGTGCTAGTGTGAAAGCACTCTAAGTTTCTGGTTGCAGTTCACATTAACAGCTACAAGTGTCACTAATAACAAAGATTTCTAAATTGTACATATAGCCCTTTAATGCAGATTGATATTCAAAAGATTGTGTTTGTATTATTCCCTTTTGTTGCCAAGCAAGAGGTCTTACGGGAAAGTTCGGCAAAAATGTAAATTCACATGTTGTTTCTAAAGATGTGTGGTGTTTTTTGAGAAATGTAAAAGAAGATATGTTGAAGTGTTGTAAATGAAGTGTGTTAAATATCTCATACATGTTTGGAACAACTTTAAAGGTGAGTAGATCATGTGTGAATTTTCATTTTTGACTGAACTGTCCCTTTGAAGGGCTCGCGAGTGTGTGTATGTGACTCTTTCTGTGGGATGGTGTGAATGTGTGTTTTCACGTTGTCTCTTGTGTCTCTCAGTGACGGTCACTCCTGGCTATTTCTGCTGCAGAGGTACCTCATCCTTCTCTCCTTTCCCACTTCTTAACTCTTCTCCTGTTTGACGACATCCGTCTGTCTGTCTGTTCCATTCTCAGCCTCTAATACTATTTGTCCAGCTTGGGGTCCATCCCATCATTGCTGTGTCTTAGTATCTGTCGGGTGCGTGTGTGAGCGTGTGAGGACTATGTGAGGTCTATGTGTCAGCTAGCATCATGCTAACCATCGAAACCAGGCTTGGCCAGGCCTGGGCTTGATTCCTTTCATGTGTGTCCTGGATGAATATTGCAAATGAAAAAGCATCCAGGACCAGGGTGTGGCCAGGCTTGGGGTTTCTAATATTGTTTGAAGCAGCTCTTAAAGAGCAATTACTCATGGAGAAATGAATTACAGGCCCCACCTGCTTTGTGGGGAGGAAATTACATGGTGTGGCAGTTATCAACTACCCTGCTCTTACTGGGTTTGATGGAAAAGCGAGTGTCATGCAGTGTTGGGGAAGCTACTTTAAATGATGAGAAGCTTTGGCAAGCTGCAGTTTCAAAGCTACAGTCAAGTTAGACTTTTGAAAAATGTTCAGCCATACTTCAGGCTACAAACAAAAAGTAGCTACACAAACTATTTAAGGGACAAAATCTTATTAAAGTCGCCATGAAGCAGAAGTTAAGACTGTATTTTAAGACTGTATATAAAACACAAATATAGAGTGAGAGCATGAGTATTATTTTTAGGTCAGATTAGGTTTCTTGTGGAACAGAAAAGGGGATTAAAAGTGTTAGATCATAATAGATATAACATATAAAATATAACAGTTGATAATGTGTCATTTAACTTGTCTATCTGGCTCCATGCTGTGTCCTACTGTAACACCACTTTAAAAAAGCAAGAAATTGTCTGTGGTTATAGTTGGTTACTCCCCAACACTGATGTTTTGAGGGCATAACTTTTACCACAGCTACTGCTGCCATTACACACAGCCCTCTCTCTCTCTCCCTCTCTCTCTCTCTCTCTCTTCTTTCAAATGAGCTTTATTAGCATGAAAATAATATAGTGATTATATAATACATGTATACATACATTAAAAACCACAAATAAGAAAAAGATAATGTGATTATTAATATATATATATATAATTTATTTATTTTAAATAAATAAGGGCGACACGGTGGCTCAGTGGTTAGCGCTGTCGCCTGGGTCAACTCCTGACTGGGTCAATTTGCATTTCTGTGTGGAGTTTGCATGTTCTCCCCATCCTGGAGTGGGTTTCCTCCGGGTGCAAGTCCAAAGACATGGGCTATAGGTGAATTGAATATGCTAAATTGGCAGTAGTGTATGTGTGTGAATAAGTGTGTATAGATATTTCCTGGTATTGGGTTGCAGTTGGAAGGGCATCTGCTGTGTAAAACATATGCTGGAAAAGTTAGCGGTTCAATTAAATGAATAAATTTTATAATATAATATAATATTATGTAATATAATATAATATAATAACAAAAATAGGTAAATAAATAAATAAATAAATAAAAATCCACAACTGTTACTTGATTCGGATGACCCCCCCCCCCTCTTTCTTTCTATTCAAATTTAAACTTGCTTTATATCATGACAAATGTTACAAATTTATTGCCAAATCATTTATAAAGTTGACATTAAAAAGAACATGTACAGTATAAAAACATAGTAAACAGTAAATAGTAGTAGTAAAAAGTAATAACAGAATAAACTGTACATCTAACAATAAACATTTAACATTTTTAGGATAAAACAGTAATCATTCATTCATTCATTCATTTTTTTTTTCGGCTTAGTCCCTTTATTAATCTGAGGTCGCCACAGTGAAATGAACCACCAACTTATCCAGCACATGTTTTACGCAGCTGCAACCCTTCACCGGAAAACACTTATACACTCTCATTCACACACATACACTATGGACAATTTAGCCTACCCAATTCGCCTATACCACAATTCTTTGGACTTGTGGGGGAAACCGGAGCACCTGGAGAAAACCCACGCAAACATGGGGAGAAAATGGAAACTCCACACAGAAACGCCAACTAACCCAGCCGAGGATCAGATCGGTGACCTTGCTGTGAATACTGCAATTACTGATAATAATAATCAGTATATTTAAATTTCACTGTCTCTCTCTCTCATTCTTTCTTTCAAATTCTGTCTCTCTGCTGGCTGCTGTGGTCTGAATGTTGTGCAAGGGCTGCTGCGTTGGGTATCTGTTATTCTGAATGCTGTGTGGAGGCTTGTGTTGGTTTTCAGTGTTTGCTAAAAGCATTATCAGGCATGACCCTCGGGTGTCCTGTCTGCTGTGTGCACTTGTTTACGTGGTGGGCTGAGGAAGGCTGTGCTTTTTTAATTTTCTAGTGAGTTCTTGTTTTGAGGATGCTTGCTCTGACTCCACTGTTAACTCCCTGCATCGTGTCCACCACGCGCACTGACCGCTTTTAAAGTGGGTTCACCGACTGCAGTGAGCCGGAGGAAGTGCTGACTTTCTCCACTCATGCTCTGCACTGAACCTGGACGTCCATTAAAAAGGTCAACCAGCTGATCTCATTTCTCCTCTTCTGCAGCTCGCGGACGCACCAACCTGGAGCTTCGAGAGAAGTTCATTCTTCCAGAGGGAGCCACGCAGGGTTTGGCGGCCTTCCGGTCCCGGGGTCGCCGGTCCAAGCCTTCGTCCCGCACAGCTTCACCCACGCGCTCGTCCTCATCTGCGTCACACAGTGCCCACAGCTGCGCCTCTGTGCCCTCTGCACCCGCTACACCCACAGCCTCCTCAAGGGTGAGTGACACAACATTACACCACATAAAATCTACACGCTGCCTGTTGAGGGAGCATTTTGCGTGCTAATTAGACCCAAAAATGTTGCTGCTTGTATTATTCACTAGGGGTGCAGTTTTAAAAAAATCCTAACAGTCATTTTAAAAGTGAATATTTTTATCCATTTCTCAGTGAATATTAGCAATGTATTTTGGTGCAATTAAACAAAACCAATTTATTAAACAGATATATTTATTCAAATAATATTTTAGTCATTAAACATATTCAGAAATTGCAAGATAATACAATTAAATTCAAGCAAAATATTGCAAAAATAAATGACAACCTAAAAAATTTCAACTAAATTGTTCCATTGTTTTGCTTCTCTTGATTTTTGCTCTTTTTTAAATATGTTTTTAATATTTTTTAATAACATATCAATTTGGCTGTACTAGTTTTTGGACCGTTATAATAAGTTATTTTGTTAGATAAGCTCCAGATTTAGCTTCAGTACTGACTAATCTAATGCATCTGCACAAATATAATATTGTATAACTTCCTATTACAAATATGAATTTAAGAGAGATTTATGAGGGGTGTACTTATATATGGTGAGCACTGTATATTTAGGGTATTATTTGATTATTGTCGAGTATCATAACTAAAACCTTAATATATTAAATAAAAAGTAATAAATTACTGAATAAAAACTGAATAAATTCTGATTTACACATTTACTCAAGTAAATAAACAGAATTAATAATGGGCTAAAAATCTGCAGAATTCTGCGCGCGCAGATTCCGTGTGGGCCTAGTCATTTGTCACTAAACACATAACATCATACTTCATATTGAGTGTTTATCAAGGTCTTTCCTTATGTCTACATGTTTCATGAGCATTTGATCATGCGATTGCTTGTTTTATGTTTTCATGTAAAGTTTTAAATTGAAGAATTAAAAAATGCATTAAACTTTAAATATAAAACACATTCAAAAGCTGTGAAAGTATTTCGTAATATTACTCTTTTTGTTGCAGTTTGGTAAATTAAATGCAGTCAAATAAAAGTAAAATAAAAAAAGACATATGTGACCCTGGACCACAACACCAGTCATAAGCGTCCAGTTTTGGAAATTGAGATTTATTATCTGAAAGTTAAGTAAGCAGGCTTTAAATGATGTATACTTTATTAGGAGAGGACAATATCTGTCCATTCGAATATCTGGAATCTGAGGGTTTAAACAAATCTAAATACTGAGAAAATTTCAATTAAAATTTAAAGACCATTACTAATACAAAATAGAGGTTTAATATATTATTAGTATAAAACATTGGGTCACACATTGTTTTGATGGTCTGTTTGTTGAATTTAAGTTACATTGCAACTAATTCTCATCAGGTTATCAGTAGACTGTTAGGTTGGGGTTAGTGTAGGTTGACATGTACTTGCAAAGTTTCTTATAGTCAGTTAAATGTCTGTTGAAGGAGCAGAATCAGCAGATATTAGGCAGACAGTCTACTAATACTGAAATGACCATCAAAATTAAGTGTTACCAAACTTTTAAAATGTCTTTATGAAACATGATCTTTACTTGATATTCGAATAATTTTTGGCATAAAAGAAAAATGTAATTCTGACTCATTCAACGTTCTTTTCCTATTGTCAAAAATATACCCGAGCAACACAAAGTTAGTTATGTGATCCAGGTTCAGATATTGTAAAAAAAATTTTAAAAATGTACTAGATAATGTCAAACGGCAAATCTTTATATGGTACTTTGGGAAAAATAAACTCTCCAATTTCTTGGCCGTTCCGACACATCAGTCTGTCATTTGTCCTTAAGGTGTCATGAAATTCGTGGTGATGAATGGTATCTGGTGGACGGTTTCTCTGTCTCTGGTTGTGGTGTTTGTTTACATTGTTGTGTGTGGGATCAGGACGTGATCACTGTTGTCTTTGCATGTGAGAATCATATTGTCATCTGTGAGATTTTTATTTGTTCTTTGTCTTTTTGTCCCTCTCCCCTCCCTTGCTTGGAAAATGTGCCTTCCTCCACCCTTACTTTGTGCTCATCTCCACCTACCAAAACACTGTGCTGCATCGCCTTCCCTCTACTTTACTCTTTTTCCGATTATCCTGGCTTCTTCCCACTGCTTTTCCCACTGCTACTTCGCTCCTTTTTTGCTACCGCATTTCCCAGTCCTCCCAATCCCAATCTCGTGGCTATGCCAAGCCCTGGCTGGCACACAGTAAAACTCCAACTCCAACCAAGTGCCAGTCCTGCCCAGAGCACAGCCAGACCCCTGGGCATGAGGTAACGCACTGCCCGCTCCCAGCGCCCCATAACACACTAACAGAAACAAAAGAAGCTTAAAGCACGGCCTGATCACAACAAACGAGAAGAAACTGAGATAGACGAGTCTACGATTAGATTTAGAATATCTAGAGGAATCAATCCTGTATGTTGCTATAATTATAGACTGTAACCGTATGCAGCTTAGACTCCTATAGGAAAACAGACCAGTCATTTGATGCTCTTCAAGGAGTTAAGCCCTGTTCACACTAAAGAACCGTAACTATAAAGATACTATATTAGTGTTTATATCCATCCATGATAACATTAAATGTGGGACAAAAACATACTTTTTTGAACTGTAAGTCACTCAAACCTTTCATCAGCTCAACCAAAAAAAAACAATACAGCACAAGCTTAGGGTAAAATCTCAACCTTACAACCGTTACTGAACAGTAGCATGAATATGAAACATTGCTGTGATTCAGCAGCATTGACTGAAAGCAGAAGAAACATCGATCAGTTTCTGTGCATTTGTGTTTATATCAAGGGTCATTAATATTGCATCTGATAACCATCATAGTTTTTATTGTACTTGTTTTTTAATGTTTAGATTTTCTTGTGTTTTTTATTATTATGTTTTGCGAAGTTAAATTAAAACAAAATATATACAGCAGGGAAAATAAGTATTGTCACCATTTTTCTCAGAAATCATATTTCTAAAGGTGCCGTTGACTTTAAATTTTCAATGGATGTTGGAAACAACCAAATAAATCTATATATGCAAAGAACACAAAAACAAATCTTATTAATTTACTCATGAAGTAATGTGCAATAAAATAAAATGACACCGGGAAAAAGTATTGAACACATGAAGAGAGGGAGGTGCAGAAATGCAGTGAAAGTCCAGACAGCAGCTGTAATCTCTCAGTAGTTTGCCCTTTGCCCTTCGTCATTGTAAATTAATATAAGATGCTTCGGTCCAACATCTACATTATCAGGATGATGAAGATGACACCAGGGTGGAAATTACAGCAAGACAATGATCCAAAACACAGCCAAGGAAAAACTCAATTGGTTTCAGAGAAAGAAAATCAAGCTGTAGAATGGCCTAGTCAATCACCTGACTTAAATCCAATAGAAAATACAGATCAGATTTGACAATACCCACAGAATATTCAAGATTTTTACACTCTGTTGAATTCTGGGAAAAACTCACAACTGAGCAATGTGACTTCATTCTTCATATGAGAGGCGTCTTTAAGCTGCCATCACCAAAAAAAGCCTTTTATATGAAGTTTTAAATACGTTTCAGTTCAGTTCAGTACTTTTCTCCTTGTGTCATTTCATTGTTATTACACAACTAATCTTTCAGATTTTATTGTTTGTTTGTTTTATTCTTATCTTTGTATTGTTTGGGTTTTTACCAAAATCTGGTTTAATTTCATGTCAACAGCTACTTTAGAAATATTATTCCCAAGAAATAAATATGATGTGTTCAATACTTATGTCCCCCACTGTATTAAACCAACCTAAAAAGATAACAAGTGTAGGATATTTTATGTATTCTATGTTTCTACTTAACTATATTAACCCTGATTTATGCTAAATGTCATTAAGCTACTCTGTTTTATAGCAAATACCATCATATAAACCTGAGCCAAACTCCTTTTTACTGTGATAATGAGATTCCATATCAAGCGACTCTATAAAAGAAAATGATTTTTAGACATGTATCTTTATAGTTATCATCCCTGGTGTGAATGGGCCTTTATTCTGTTAATTATCTAATGACAGATTGCCTACAAAATGGTAGCTGAAAGCAGCTGTATGTTTTGTCAACTGGTTTCTAGAAAACGAAGTCCAGTTACATTGCTAGGCTTGTGTTTTTGACTTATTTTCTGTAGCTACACTTGCAGATCTGCTCTTTGTACTAAATCCTCTCTCCTCACTTTCACAGGGAGGCTCCACGACTAAGCTGAAGAGACCAACGTTTCATTCCAGCCGCGGCTCCTTAACTGGGGAAAACGGTGGAACACCAACAGCTGCTAAACCCGGACGCTCCGGTACGAAACTACAACACTATAATCAAAGAAGCCTCTATGAATTGATCTAATATGTCATTTGGGGAATCTACTATGAAACTGTAGCATCAAAAGATACTAAGAAACTATTGTGGAAAACGTAATTAGCTGCAGTACAAGCTACAGAAATGAAGTACTCTATTAGAGCCATGCAAGTGAGAAATGAATGTCAGTGTTTATTTTTAATTCTTTATGAATGTAATTTAATCAATTAATAGCATTAAGTTTGATGTCTAAATAAGAACATCCTGAAGTAAAAGCTAAAATCAAAAGCCTATAAGTGAATTACAGCACAGTCATGACTTCCACATCACAGTCCTGTAACTGTGTAGACAAGTCTATCCTGAGACAATTCATCAAAAATGATATTTACAGTGGTTCCTCGTTATTCACCAGTTATGTTCTAAAAATAGCCCACAATAGACGAAATCGGCAAAGTAGTCTGCTTTAGCAATTACAATTATTATAGATGCTTTAAGGCTGTAGAACCCCTCACTACACACTTTATACACTTTTCTCAGATTAATATTTTCACACTTTTCTGTCTTGTGTAAACACTTGCATAGCTTTTACCTTTATGTTGGCCAGAAGTCCAACTTTTTATGCGATGGTTAGCATCTTCCTCTGCCTTTTTGTTGCTACCGCAGGTGCCTTTGACAATGCAGATTGTTTTGTCGACATTGTGGGGTTTGTTGGGGAGAAAACTTGCAGACATACAGTCCAGCACTTCAGAGTCACACTGCTAGCGATTGAAGATTTTTGTACATTTGGCAAGCTGAATGCATTCTGTACTGTATAGAAGACGCGCCACGGAGGAACACAATGCACTGTAAAAAAAAAAACAAGTCAAATTGCACTAAAAAAATCTGCGAGGCCACGATAGGTGAACCGCGTTATGGCGATGAAGCACTGTATATAGAAAGAAAACACACACTAAAGCTAATTTCTATATTTTAAGGCTCATTCTTGTTAGAAATATTTAACTTCCAAATGGCAAACTTTGATATTGTTTTTGTCCAAATATAGCAAAAATAATCATCATTATAAAATAATAAATCTAGAAACCACAGGATGTTAAAGATTAGCGCTGAAAAGCGTTAAAAATTATTATGTCAACGCCAAATTTAATTTGTCACAGAAATGTCAGGTAACTGCATGATATATATTTTTTGTTGTTATTGTTTTATGCTATAAACACACACAATATCATCCCAATTTTGGGACGATCCATTTGAAGAAGAGTGTCGTAGTGATTCATCCATGTTGCTATTTTTAGTAGTTACTCTCAGTCCAGTTTTAAATTGTATTGATATTTTCATGTGGCTCTGCTTTGTGTGGTTTTCACGATACTGGAATTTGACACCAATCAGTACTAAAAGAAAGTCCATTTCCTGAGAATATTTGAGCATTGTTGAGCGCTTTCTTAAACGGCGCTGATTTGCCATCGTGTTCACATGCTTAACAGAAATGACACATGCTTAACAAAAAGTCACGTCGATCAGCTGGTTTGTCTATAAGCTGACATACAAGCGATCCGCTGATGAATCGCAGCTTTAAAACGCTCCAGTGTCCCAGTATCTGTGGTTCCACTCAGTTAACAGCTGTGAGTTTGCTGAACCATTGACCTTTACAGCCCATCACAGTCAATTCTGTTGAGCATGTGAACTGTTTAAGAATGTGCTCAACAGCGCTCAAATGTTTGCAGGAAATGGACGTTTTTAAAATTTCTGTACCGATCGTTATTGAAGTCCAGTACAGTGACAACCCTAATTTGTGATTGGCTCTATTGCAATAATCTTTAGCCTAAAAATCATCTTTCTTCGTCAGAAACCAAACGCACTCCGTCCTCGACAAGCGGTCCAGCCAGTCGAGCAGGGAGTCGCGCTGGAAGCCGAGCCAGCAGTCGAAGAGGCAGCGACGCTTCAGACACATCTGAGCTCATGGAGACCCGCTCAGCCTGCTCCGATACCTCAGACACCCCACGCCGTCCTGGGGCCAAACCTTCCAAAATCCCCACCATCTCCAAGAAGACCCCCAGCCCCAAAACACCCGCAGGCAAGAAGTGAATTCTCCACTGATGGTGGTCACGGTTTAACCAGCAGGAGGAGAACAACTCTCACGTCTCGCCAGCTCAGACGGGACAGGACCGCACAGCACTCCATCCTCTACAGCGTCCAACACTGCTACACCACCCAGATTCAAACCTACCATAATGCTGCCTTATTTGTGTTACACATCATGTCCTTAATCTGACTGACGTTACGTGTTTTCTTTGAATGTGTGATGGAGAACATCCAGTGTGAGCAGACATATCCTATACTGACACTCGAAGGGGCTGAATATGCAAACGCCCGTCACTCACCAAACCCTCATGCATGGTTGGACAAAGTCGCCCTCTTCACCAGCTGGCATCTCGCCTGGATGTCAGTGCCACTGCAAACAAGAGGAAGTCGATTAGAAACACAGACCTTTTCCTTTGGCACATGAGACATTTCAGACTCATGTATGTTTGTTTGTGTGTGTGTGTGTGTGTGTGTATGTATGTCATGGTAAATTAACGCAGTAATAAGGAGAGGAAGTGGACGAGGATACATATCTCCGCCTTGTGATCCGCCTTCAGGTCACACGCGATCCTTTTACAGGAACTCCTATTACGCACAGCACACGAGTTTCACACTCGCACCGACCGTGCGTCTATTTGTGTCGTTTTGTTACAGACATCATGTTACAGAGCTTTTCCACAGTATGCAAAAATGATTTTGTGAATGTTTGGTTAATTTATAATAATCCCGACGTTTCTTTTCTAGAGTAAAGAGCTGTATTTATTTGTGATTGCAGTATCATATCAACTCTTGAGAATGACTAGTATTAACACAGGCGGAATCACTCTTCGTTACGTGTTTTTGTTTTGTACATCCGCACCAGACGTAATGAATTTCTTTGACTGATCATTTCTGATGTAAACTGACCAGGAAGCTTACTGATTCCAATGGTGGCCTTTTTGCCGGTGACTACACACTTTAGATGACGTCAAAAGTGGCTTCCTACTTGTTCTTTCGTGACGGAAGCACCCTGAATAATGGATGATGGGGGCGACTGGCGCAGCCCCTGTTAAAAACAGCTCTTTGAAATCTTGTCTTTGACAAGCTGAAGTATATGAATACCTGAAGAAAGGTGATTTTTATTTATTTATTGTGTCATTGGGAGGGGGGTGAGGGCTGCGAATGGATCCACCTTTTGATTGTGTTACTCTTTTGACATGACTGAGAGAAACGGGGGTGCAATTGTGTAAAAGTAAAGAAGTTATCAATTCTTTTTGTTCTCTTTTGTATTAAAACAATGCTTGCAGTAAAATCGTCTGGCTTTTATGTTGTGCGTGAGCGTGCAGGGATGCCGCAGTTAACAGGAAATGGCACAGTAATTACAAGCAGTACAGATAATGACACACCCCATTAAATCTTCAAAAGGGGACGAGCCTTTGGTGTGTGCAGTTTTGAACACGCTGCGCTTTCATATAAGATTTACACTAGCAGAGGTCAGAAAAGGGCTCACGAGTGCATAGAAGCACCTTTATTTGTGCCGGGTGTGTTGGTCACACATAAGTAGAGTGTGTTTGTACTGGACCGTGTGTATGTTTGGTGGTCAGATGCAGCGGATGGGGTTTGGGAAGGGTGGTGTTCCATCATCTCCATTCTGCAGCTGTGTGTCCGTGTTTATATACAAATATTTAAACCCACTCACATCCTTTCCCACCAAAACACCGTCCACACCGCAGAGCCAAGCTTTAGTGGCATCTCGCAATCCTGCAGTGACATTTCACTTTGAGGATTCTATCAAACCACTGATTTTCCTAGTAAAACATACAAGTCATTAAGACTGGTCAATTGGAATTTTGGTTGAGAAATGACAAGTCTGTTTAGACGTGAGGGGAAAAAAAGACATTTATTCACTCCATTTATATTTAACTCTATTTAAAGAGCCCCTATTTTGCAACATAAAAGGTCATATTTTGGTTTTGGGGGTCTCCAACATCAGGCTAATATACATGCAAGGTCAAAAAAGCACTTTCATTGTCTTGTAATCTGCATTTATTTTTACCTAATAGTCACAATGACTCCCATATGATTCGTTTAGCGATTCATTTGTTCCCAAACCCCTCCTTAGGCTGAAGCTAATATGCACTCCGATGACCCAGTCTGTTGGGCTGGTCGACTAGGTTCAGCGCAAGACAGAGAGAAACGCCCACCACGTCTATGAAGTAGCACACAGAGTAGAGAACCCAATGCAGACAAACACCAGCTTGTTACTCTACTCTTTACGCTAACCCCAAGTATAAACAACGACACACATTCAGTATTAATCACACAGTGGCAAAAGTTGAACTACTTTGAAAATTGTGTGTGTATAAACAGCTGATGGTGGCCATAGCAATGACAAACAGTAGAGGATCGCGAGTTCAGAAACGCATTTAAATCGGTAAAAGAATAAGCACGCATCGCATTTTTTACGAGGTTTTGGATGTAATATGTAAACAGCACCATAAAGATTTAACCTGAGAGATGCTTTACAAGCATTAATCTATAATAGATAAGTGATTACAAGCCTTGCGGAGCGAATACAATACAACACACAAATAATGTTATGCAAACTACACATAATGTGGCAACAATTTTAATTACACTTGCATGTTATTATCTGGAGAAAGAAACTGGTCCATATGAACTGTAACAGTTCCTGACAAAGTCCCATATATAATAGTCTCTGCTCCTTCCATTATTAGCAAACGTCTGACAAATCCCGAGTTGCAGGGAAGGTTATTGTATCAATCGTCAGAAAAATGACAGGAACAAACTCAGTACACGGTTGGCTATCCGCTTGTTAAGTGTGACGTCACGCAAAGCAGCTTCCGGGTCCAAGCGCTCTATTCAACTGAATGGGGAGACTCGTGAAATTTTAATAATAAACGTTTACAAAGCGATTTAATACTTTCGAATATCACGATCGCAATATATATGTCCATGCCTAATATCCAATGGCCAGAGAGCAATTCATTTTTTTTTATAAATTGTTAAAATGTTAATATTTGTGATGCAGCAAGCCCAGAGATTGTTGTGTACACTATGGCTTTATATAAAATTTACTTTAATGTGTGCTATGAATAAAAAGTGATCATAAAAGAATGATTTCTCAACTCAAATGAGTAGCGGCTTGGACCCGGAAACAGTATTACATACGTCACCAACAAGTCCTGTGATCCCCCACATTCCGCTAGTGTCTAATTGGAAAGGCACTTTAGTAATGTACCGTATCAACATCGACGCGTTCAAGCAAAAGATCTGAACCCAACACGATTCATTTATTTGGGTCGACTGTTTCGTTAAAGAATCAATAGTTTTAAGCACAGAGCACTTTTAGATTTAAACCTCAGCTGGATGATTTCATTCACTTAGTGCTGTGTTAACTTACTGCATGGAAGCTCATTTTCAAATACCCATAATAGGGGGTCTTTAATTTAAACAGTTACGACTTTTTATTTTAATGTGTTATTGGGCATTAACTAACAAATTAACAACAACTTATATTAATAAATGCTTTTGCATTGTAGTTGTCATTACATTGACTTCAGTTAAATTTGCTGACATTAGCAAATGAAGCCTCACTTTACAGAGGTAATTAACAAAGGCGTATACAGTCAGAATCGTCAATGTCAAGGGCCAGATTAGCGTAAAGTTGGTCATAATCCTGGACCAGGCCACATCCTGAGCTGATACTGCGGCAGTCATTGAGGGGTAGAGAGCATGAGGCTGATTCATGAAAGACCACAGTGACAGCCGAGTCTTCGCATTGATCCAGTGGGCCAGCATGATCATCCGCCGGTGACCTATTCACAGCTGAAGATCTCCACAATAAACCTCCAGTGTTCTGCAGCCTCCGGCACTTAGACTGCAGCTCCGCACAGAAAGTTTGGCCAGAGGAGAAACGGTTATGCCAAACTGAGCCTAGTTTTTTTTCTTCACTTTCGTCAATTGGTGAAGTTTGTTCCTCATGACTGGCTTGCTTGGTTTGGGACTTGTGGAGCTGCGCATCGATGGATTTGTTCTTCAGTGTTTGGACTTTCAGTAGGGAAAATTAAACCACACTGAACTGAACTTCAACTCTGAAAACTGGTCTGACTCCGTTTCAATTTACTAGAACTTCTCTGTTAAGCTGATCTGACACAATCTACATTGTAAAAGTGCTATAGAAATAAAGATGAAATAAATTTTTATAATATTTACCTAAGTACACTGCTCCAAAAAATAAAGGGAACACTTAAACAACACAATATAACCATGTGTTGCCTTTATCTTTTTAGCAGTATGTTTATGCATTTGGTGCTGTAATGAACAACTACTAATATAACAATCTGAATATTCCTAACAGCCACTCTAAAAGTTTAAATAATATATTTTCAAGTGCACACGATATCAGTATTGTCACTATCACAATACATTGAATTGTTGAGTATCAACATACGTCTCATACACAGTGATCTCTCACTGCTTGGCTACCGCTGAACCCACAGAATACAAATTTAGTTTTCATATTACTGTAGCCACACAAACTCCGTCCCATTCTGTGCAAAGACTGGATCACATCTCCACTCCAAACCACATGATAATTGTCAGCAATTTGTGAGGTATGTGTAGAAGATGAGACGGTTTGATAGGGCAGATGGAGACTGAGGTGAGAAGGGTTCAGGATAGAGAAAAGGGCGGAGGTTTGAGATGATGGAAACCCTCCCTCTGCGTAAGCCTGTTTCTTGGAGGGAAGGAGCTCGCCTGTGTTCAGAGTAACCCTCCAGCGCAAGCAGCACACAAGCTAAGAATACCACAGCTCAACAAAGTTCAGCGGTGAACCAATACAATTCCTTCTCAGAGTTTTCAGGAGCCTTGGATTTTCCATCCTTTGGATTATTTGTTTTTTTTTTTAAAGCTCAACTTTTCATGGATTACCTCAAGACAGTTTTGTTTTTCAATTAAACAGAGGATTTCACCAGTGAAGAGTTCTCAAAAGAAGCAGGTGTGCTTTTTAAAGGTTGACCGCTGTTTTTAGTTACTCTACCCAAAGACTTTCCATTCAACATTGTGCTTTGTCCTTCCAACATCCAAAATCCAGTTTCCAGGATATATTGTCATCCATCTTTGTAAGTGCACTATAAATTATGAGATTGCTTTGGTAAATAAAGTGACGGCATGAGGAACGACTGTCAAGAGGCGATAAACTGAGCAAGTAAACATTGCACTCTTCCAAATAACGATGACTGCTGTGGAATCTGAGTGGCTTAGACGTTCGAGTGTTGTTCGGGGTTGAACTTCGAGACGGTAGTCAGACCATTCCGGGAAAACCAACGTCGGGTGAACAGCTAAAAGGACAAATATCTTTACAGACGGCTGGGCTCTTCGCTACACCAATGGACAGACACGAGGTTGAGATTGTGTCCTCAAAACACCAGAGCAGAGGGAGGAAACGAACCCGACTTTTCCCTCCGTCCATCTTCCTCCCTCTGTGTGTATTGCTGTGTGTTTGGGGTCAGGTGGAAGGAGTGGTTCATTCCAGCTTTCGTCGGCTCAGCGGTCGGGAAAAGAAGGAGATGCAGAAGGAGATTTTATCCATTTTGGGTCTCCCCGGGCGGCCTAGGCCTCACCCGCCGCTGCGGCCGCCTTCCTCCGCCCCGCTCTTCATGCTGGACCTTTATCATGCGGTGTCGTCTGAGGCTGATGACAGGCCGGGTTTGGGTTTCACTCCGGAAGTGGTCAGTCATGCCGCACTGCCCACTTTAAGCACACACATGCCGCCGCTTGGTACTGTGGTCAGTGAGGCCGACACGGTTATGAGCTTCGTGAACCTGGGTAAGTGACAGCTGGTAAGGGTTAAACACACTTATCTGACAGGGGGACGCTGATGAAGATACAGTGGCCCAATTGAAAAGTAAATGTAATGAAGTGTATTTGTGAAGTATTAAATGAAGTAGGGCTGCACAATATATCGTTTCAGCATCGATATCGTAATGTAATCATTCACAATAGTCACATCGTGAGTATACGCAATGTTGATTGGATTGTATGTGTATACGCAATGTCTGGATTATAACTGATCATTTTGCAAGTGTTTTTGAGTCTTGTGACTGTGTTTTTCAAATTGTACTGTTTGTAACTTTAAAAAATTAATAACGATTAATTTTATTGAATTGTTTACAGAACAAAGACTGTGCGGTATTATTTTATATTTGATTATTCAATTACTGTATACGTAAATACTGTTCGACTCCTCGTAAAACAACAAAACACTGTTTATTTTATTTGTATCTTTTTGTTTATTGGTGGTTCTAGCTTAAATGCAACACCGGGTGAATTTATCTATGCTTGTAGATTGTTTATTATATTTTAAGCACTCCCCTACTAAATCATCCCAATCAATCTAAAATGATAAAATTTTTTCAAAATAGTTTTTCAACTCATCTAGTAAAATTGTATTAATATCGCAATATATATTGCTGAATTAAAAAATATCACAATATTAGAATTTTCCAATATTGTGCAGCCCTAAAATTAAGTAACATTTATCTGAAACAAATTCAAAACAAATCATTTTACAAAGGAAAGTTTTTGGGTTTAAAGTTGTAAGAACTAAAGTTCGCCAACAAGTGATTCTGACAACTATTTATGGACAGTTTATATCTGTCAAACATAGAAAGCATTGCTTTTTTAGTATTATTTGTGTGGTTTACTATTTAAAATGTAGAATAAACACTTTATAAATTAATTAATTAATTTTCATTCGGCTTAGTCCCTTTATTAATCAGGGGTCGCCACAGTGAAATGAACCGCCAACTTATCCAGCTTTGTTTTACGCAGCAGATGCCCTTCCAGCTGCAACCCAGTACATTTACACACATACACTACGGCCAATTTAGGTTATTCAATTCACCTGTACCAGCATGTCTTTGGATTGTGGGGGAAACCGGAGCACCTGGAGGAAACCTACGTGAAAACGAGGAGAACATACAAACTCCACACAGAAATGCCAAGTGGCCCAGCCAAGACTCGAACCAGCGACCTTCTTGCTGTAAGGTGACAGTGCTAACCACTGAGCCACCATTTCGTTCAACACCAAAAATACACAGTTGGTGAGAATTATTAGCCCCCCTGTATTATTCGCCCCCGTTTATTTTTTTCCCCAATTTCTGTTTTACGGAGTGATTTTTAAACTTCTGACTTCAAATGTATATAAATAAAATCAATTATTACCTATAATGGTTACTATGATTAACAGTGTTACGTTGTATCTTATTTTAAGCTTTTACTTACAGTTACCTTTTTTTGAATGAAATAAAACAGGTTTAAGTACTAAATCCAAATTTAGTTAAACTAAAAATGTATTTTCATATTTTGGCCATTAATTTAAACATCAATTCTGTTTCGGGAGTCTGAACTGAAACCAACTTCAAAACTATACATTATCTCTGGCCACATCCACACTATAATCAGGGTGTGAATTACGGGGGGGGGGGGGGGGGGGGGGTTAAGGGGTCTGACCCCCTTATTAACGCTTGATCCCCCTTAAAAAACATTTTTAAAAGATGTATGGGGGTCTGCCCTTTAATAGTCAAGAAACAGTTTGCTTTGATCTGTATCTTAAATAAATATAATTAATTAAATTATATATATATATATATATATATATATATATATATATATATATATATATATATATATATATATATATATATATATATACAGTTGAAGTCAGAATTATTAGCCCCCTTTTAATTTAATTTTTATTTTAGATTTCCCAAATTATTTTTAACAGAGCAAGGAAATTTTCACAGTATGTCTGATAATGTTTTTTCTTCTGTAGAAAGTATTATTTGTTTTATTTCGGCTAGAATAAAAGCAGTTATTAATTTTTAAAAAAACATTTTTGGGACAAAATTATTAGCCCCTTTAAGCTAATTTGTTTTCGATAATCTACAGAACAAACCATCGTTATACAATAACTTGACTAATTACCCTCACCTGAATAGAGCTATTTAATAGAGCTATTCAAATACATCTGGTGAAATTGCATTCATTCCGCAATGTATGTCGCAGCAAAACAAAGCTAAATATCGCAATGTTAAATTTTCCCAATATCGTGCAGTCCTAGTTCAAATGTTCACAGAAATTCTAATTTATCTTAAGGTATCGTCAAAATAGTGGGAAAGGTCTTTGTTTTCCCTTGGCATGACATTTTAACTGATACAATAACATTTAATCTCTAAATCTTTTTGGGTGGTGGGGGAAGAACTGTAAAGTACTGTTTTATAGCACAAACATGTAACCTAGATAGTTGTTCATAGTCATATATGCCACTGGTTTTAGAGACTGGAAGGACTGTAATGTGTATTGATAATAATAAAGTCAGTTTACTGAGACAGAGCCACAATCAGTCCATCATCTCTTCCTGTCTCATCCCAAACACAGACGATACTTATCTGTCACGAAACAAACAACAGTTTAACATCCTATTTACAATTACTGCTTCTCTTTCCTGTCACAGTACGGCTGGTTATCACCTCTTTATCTTATTTATTAGACCAATGTTGTTCCAAAGACAGGCATCGCTGCTATTATTGCTCAAATTTCCTTGTGTCTGGAAAAACGCGGGAAATATCACGGCGTCCCGTTTTAACGACAGACGTTATAGCGCGGATCATGTAAGGAAATTTTGCAACTTGTATATATTTCAATCAAAAACGTAACTGTTAGTGCTGTAATGTTAACCTAAACATGACGTGGATTAGCCTATACTGCCTGTCTGAATAATAGGCGTACAAATATGTATTTAGTAAACATGAAGAGCAGTTTCTTGTCCTACACAGATACTCACATGTACAATAATTACATGTTTGGTGTATTTCATCCTCTGTATTCTCTCTAAATGTGCCCATAAACTTCTCCAGAGCTGCTCTGACAGTCAATTAGTATTTTACACATGATTTTATCTTGCAAAATGTCGTTATGGTTACAGAAACACGAACGTATTCAAAACACGTCAAAATAAAAGTTTTTACTTAAAGAGATTGTGACAGATATATATATATATATATATATATATATATATATATATATATATATATATATATATATATATATATATATATATATATATATATATATAACCAGCCTGAATAAAGGGTTTATTTTTTTTCCTCAAAAAGTGGACCTTTTTGTAGTTATAGGCCTCATTTAGGCTACTATTTAATTATTAGACTTAGGCTACGTTACTGCAGTGGTTCTCAAACTTTTTTCACCAAGTACCACCTCAGGAAAAAAATTGTCTCTCCAATCACCACCATAATGACTTGTATTAAAATACTCTACAAGTATCACCCTAATGACTGGTTTTAAAATACTTAGTAGGCCCAAATAAGCGAGAGGGGTCTGCATGCCTCAGCCCTAACCCTACCTGTCACAGTGACGTAACTCACTCAATTGAGTGCATTGTGTCTGACACTGCATTATTGATTGATGCAATCTCAGCTCACAGGTAAAACAAAAAGATAAATAAAATGTCAACGTTTAAATTCAAATGTGATTTTAAAAGTTAATTAAAATGGCATTGTTCTTAAAAAGATAAAAGAAAACTGCTGTACTTAAATGTAAAGTATTATCATAAAGTAGCCTATTCATCAAAACCTGCAAATGTTTCTTGGACCTCATAGATATAGGTAATACCAGTCATAATATTCATATCTGTTTGAGAAATTTTAAAATATATGTTGCATGTATATGTGACTTATATGTCTTTGAAATCTAAAACGTAAACTTGTATTTTAAATATATGAATTAAATTTACATATTTAAATTAGACATTAGATCTGCTTACTGCTCGTTAGAGTAGGCTATGTGTGTCAGAGAAGCAAGTGATTAAACTATACCTGTCAACATTTGGATATAGAAATACGAGATACGTCCCCAACAAAATTACAAGTATGGGGAGGAAAATAACCTCAAATGATAGAATACATAACTTCTCGCCTCACAGCAAGAACGTTGCTGGTTTGAGCCTCGGCTGGTCTGTATGGAGTTTGCATGTTCTCTCCGTGTTGGCGTGGGTTTCCTCTGGGTGCTCCTGTTTCCTCCGCAAGTCCAAAGACCTGCGGTACAGGTGAATTGGGTAGGCTAAATTGTCCATTGTGTATGTGTGTGAATGAGTGTTTATGAATGTTTTCCAGTGATGGGTTGCAGCTGGAAGGGCATCCGCTGCATAAAACACATGCTGGATAAGTTGGCGATTCATTCCACTGTGGCGACCCCAGAATAATAAAGGGGCTAAGTCGAAAAGAAAATGAATGAATGAATGAATCGTTGTTATCGTATGTGTCAAAGGGTTAAAAGTGTGTTAATTTTTTTACTTTAATTTTTCAGCGATTCCTCCGCATACCACTAGAAGATAGCCTGTGTGCCAATCGGGTACACAGTTTGAGAACCACTGAGCTACTGCATTTTAGTGACATTTCAAGCACTACTTGAGCTGAAATAGATTGTCAGATGGTCATAACCAAAAAAAGTACATTTGAAAATGCATGGATAACAACAACAGTCAAAATAGTATTCAAATTCATTTTATTATATGTCACTTTTGATGCTAACTCATTTTTATTGGTCCTTTTTTGTTCCAAGATTTATAATAAAAGTTCAAAACCAAAAAACAAACTAGTAAGGAAAATGACCACTTACATTATATTGTATGTTTTCTTGCACATCTGGATGTTGGTCTCATGAAAAATAATTGTTAGCATTGGCCAAAACTGAATAGCTGTACTCACACCTAGCAACAGCCAACAGACGACACCACTTGGTCTTAAATCCTTTTTCAATGGGTTATTTTCACTATTTATGACGGCATAGCAGTCAAAATAGGCCAACTCAGCTCACGCGTGGAACAAATTTTGGACCTTTGTCAGTGAGTTGTGGGTCTTTCAAACCACTCAAACCCTCCCCTGGCTACAGGCCTGCATTGTGTATTAAAATAATAAAAATTACACAATTATTATTCTTTGTTTTAAATGTATCACAAACAATGAATAATTGAACAAATATATTCTGCCATAGTTAAATGTATTGTTTTATGATCTAACTGACCATGCTTTAATTAAAATACATTTTAAATTAATAATTTAGTATTTTATGTAGTATTTATTACACATGGAAACTGACTTTTGATTTCAGTCAGCCAGCCCCAGGGCTTCCGGTTATATGTCATCATACAAAATCGCCGCATTTAAGATCTGATTTCTTTCTTTTTTTTTTAAACAGCGCTCTTCACTGCCTGGCTGAGATACGATATAAAGTGGGTATCAGACCAAACAAGAACACTGCATTAAATTATATTTTTCGGCGCCATGTATTTAAATTATGGAAATTAATTGTACTCCAGTATTTTCAATGGAATTTCTGCGCTGACCTATGGCTAATGACAGTGCCTGTGTTTAAACTTTTTTTTTTGTCTCTTTTATCTCCTTTTTAACTGAATATATTGTATATACTGATATATTATATATACACTGATGCTGTTAAAGGAACTTTATGAAATTGAAAATAGTCACATAAAGCTCTCACCGGAAGTTCATCATTGGCTGAATAACACTAGCTGTGTATATATCTGTGAGAACAAATAAACTGATTTTAAAGGTCCCTTTGGTTACTGATTTAAACTTGTAATACTAAGTATTAAACCACTTCATAACCGTGCAACAACCATGAATGGTTTCAAAAAAGTTTTTACTCAATAATCTATAAGGCTTAGGCCTATTGGATTAAAACAATTTATGACAAAGGAAAACAATAAGATGATAAGGATAGTTACATCTATTTACAAAGGAAGAGTTAAAATCCAAAATATATGCTATATATAAGAAATATAAATAATCGTGACAGAAGAATAGGTCACGTGTCAAGTTATCTTATTGTTTTCTGTCTCACTGACTGCATTGCCAAATAATATTTTAGAAGAGGTGTACTTTTGCATTTATGTTATAAAATATAAAGGTTGCAAAAGGTTTTTAAAAATATGGACAAAAATATAAAATTAATTAAAAACTTTCCATAGTTTAATGAGCATTTTAATAATCTGAATAACCATTTTTGCACAACAAGTAAAAGTATGTGGTATAAAGTTCTAAAATTGGGTTTGCAGTAGGTTTTGGCTCACCAAAGGTTTTTTTTCCACTATAAAGAAACGTTTGTGCATTGGAAAGATTTTCATGAATGTTAAAGCAACCATTGGTCCCAATAAATGCTTATTACTTTCAAGAGTGGACTATTCGTATGTTGAAATCATGTTCTCACAAGCTTCTGCCGGACTCTAACATGGTGTTTACTCGATGTGTATTCTTATTCTTGTGTCTACAAAGGCCAGTCCACATCATGCAGGCCATGTGATGTTGTAGTGGGCACACAGCTGTGGCGAATTACAGGCCCCACTGAAAGCCAGAAAAAAAAGATGAGATGAAGTGGATGAAAATACTGTTGGGCACTCCTCTAAAAATACAGCGCTGGACTGTAATTAGTGGTGGTGCGCTGAGCTGCTGCTGCTCCACAACGCCTCTAATTACTCCACTGCAGAGCCCCGGCCGTGGGTGTCAGTCCGCTCCACCAGAACAAATGTTCCCTATTTTGTTTCCCCATCATCTCCTGCCAATCAGCCCTTCAGTATATGTCTTCTTCATCTCAAGTGTCTTCAGACTCAGTTTCACAGTTGTTGTTTTTATTTATTTTTTTCTCTCTGTCTGACCACAGTTGAACAGGAGAAGGATCTGCTCCAGCCTCGGCCATACTGGAAGGAGTTTCGCTTCGATCTCACTCCGCTTCCTCAGGGAGAGACGGTCACCGCTGCTGAGTTTCGCATCTATAAAACTCTTACCATGGGTTGGCGTTTCAACCACACCCTCCATATCTCTGTCTATGAAATCCTGAGGGAGAAAAGACACAGGTCAGTGCTTAGATATGCAAGCTAGACTGGATGACATTTAAACTTGGAGGCATGATTGATGGATCCTTCAGGATTCTTCTATAGGGTTTTACAAGTGGTTTCAATTAAAGATTAAAATATGGTCTAGTAATCATAACTTGATGATAATAGAATACTTTGTACTGCAATATAAAGTGCAACATGTAGGCTAAAAGGTTTTTATTTAGTTACAAAAAGGGGCACCTTTTACAAGATGTAACATAAGCCTTTGGTGTCTTTAAATTGTGTGCGTAAAGTTTCTGCTCAAAATACCCATCAGATTATTTATTATATTTATTTTATTGTTATTTATAATCTGCCCATTTTGGTGTCATGAGCACAATGTAGCTGTTTTTGTAGCCTGTGGTTTTAAATCTAAATTAGCTGCTTCTCCCCACCCACCCCTCCCACATGCTTCTCCTGCATTATGTCAGATAAACAGCCGTCAGTGATAGAGACAGACACCAATGAAGCCGAAATACAGCTCGTTAGTCAAAAATATCAAGTAAGTTTATTTCATGTATTGTGGTGAAGTTTATTCCTGCCTTTCTGAAACAATGAGTTACACAAATGCCATTTGCAGTACACACACACACACACCTATATATAAATATATGTATATAAAAAAAAGCCGCTAAACACCACTTCCACCAAAAATGAGCTAACGACATTGAGTGAATGCTTTATGAATGTAGTACAACATCAACAAATAGATTTGCTTCTGAATCATCTAAATCCCGGCGTTTGCGCATTCGGAAATAACAGTTTGTTGCCAAAAGCCGCTAAATGGCACTTGTCTTTGACAGCAAAAGCCGCTATATCTCGAGAACCAATCAGAAAGCGCAAATTGAATGATATGTTTTCAATGTAGCAGTGCGCTAATACGCCGGCTTTTATGAGGAGACCGCTTTTTATTTTGATTTCGATTTAAAAAGACGGAGTTTGATGAAATGGATGAGCCTGCCCGACTGTCAGTGAATGGCAAATGAAAATGTCCCTTAGCTCAAAACTCTGTATTATAAAAAATATATAATGTTTTTCATAATGTTTTTTTTGCGGAGCGACACTACTTTTAATGTCCAATTTACTCTACATTAAACGACAACTGTTTTTCACAAAAGACAGAGTTAGGATGCCATTTATATCCCACGTGGATGCTATAAGGATAAACAAGAGATCAAAACTTAAAAATTAATGAAAAACAGCTTCTCAAAGTCTCAGAGAGGCATCCTATTTTTTGCCCAGTAGGCCTATCTTGTGTTTTATTTGCTAATGTAAAGTATTTTTTAAAAGATAAATATAATGTGTAAAACTATACATTATTTATATTACTTTATAAAACCTATACATCTGATAAGCTTTTTATATTAACGGACAATGCACAGATATTGATGTTTCACAATGTTTGTACACAAGATTATTTGAAACTACCAAGCTTTGTTTGCAATGTTTATTTAATCTAAATCTCAACTATCAGAAATGACAATAGAATGTTAAGATTTAATGTCAGTTGTAATGTTATTGATTAATGCACTTACTTGACAAATTTAATTCATTCATTTTCCTTCTGCTTATTCCCTGGTTTATCACAGCGAAACCACCACTTGACAGATTTATATATTTTTACTTTTAAGTGGTTTGTGTCGGTTTTATGTTTGTTAAAATAATTTCTATTTGCATCTTTAGTGATTTTCAACTAATTACAGCGTCTTGTTCCAATAGGTGGATTTAGAAGTTTTTGCAAAAAAAAGAGCTGAGGTGGATTTAGCTGGTTTAGATGCAAAAGAAAATCTACTTTGTTAAAAACCAAAGAAATGTCTAAAGTGTTATTTTTGAAAAAAGGTATTTTATTTACTAGCTAATAACCTTATCATTACATAAATGAAACTTCTGAACCTAACTATAGGATTATAATATATATATATATATATATATATATATATATATATATATATATATTTTTTTTTTTTTTTACAAACATGCTCTTTTTAAACGTTTTAACCAACAGAGAGTTGGAACAGATATTTTATTTCCAGTTTATTTGCAAAAAAAATTATTTATATTTAAAGTTATTATAGAAGGGTGGCGTCTGCCAATCAATTTGGTGGGCGAAAAAACGGCACTCCTATGTCACATTTCGGTGGACCTCATTTTAATGTCATGAAATTTGATTTTCATCATAGGTGCCTTTTAAAAGACAACTTTGAAAATAAACTACTTCTTAAGAAGATTATTGAAATAAGCAACAATTGATGACAAGCCATTAATTTATTATAAATAGTAAAGCTACCTTTATTTTCCAATAATTCAGTGGAATTGGTCTGGTTTCAACCACATTTAAGGACATTGTTCAGATATTGTATTACGTTTGTCAAGACCTGCCTTTAACAACACTGAAAATTATGATTCACTGGAATTACTCAATTGTTTTAAGATAAGTGGTTGCAAACAATTTATTTGGACTAAATTAAAACAAACAAATTTAGTTGAACATTACTAAATTTAATTATAAATTCCTTAATTTTATTAATTTAAAGTACAGACCATATAAATTGTTTGCAACAATCTTCTTTTTTTCTGTGAACTTTGGTTGAATTTATCATAACTTTTTTTTTTGCTGATTGCTCAGATGACTTATTTAAATTAAGCTTATACAACAACATTTTTTTGGGGGGACAACTTTATTGTTTTATGCTCAATCCACTTAAATTTGGAAAAGACTAACAAGTAAACTTACTTGTTGTCCCAACACAAATCAATTGTGTGGAACCCAGCATTTTTCAAAGTGTCAGAGAAAAAATCCGAATCAAGCATTCAAATACCCTCTAGAATAAAAAAAAAACAGCCCTGAACTATCTATTTTACAACTGAGTTTATAAAGTACTGAATCAGATTTGAGGTTTTGGATGCTTTACTAAAGTTCATTACTGTTCCTTCATTAATGTCACCTTCAAGATTCATTATGAAAATGCCATTAGGATCTTGTGATTTGACAGGGAGCCTGAGCTGGTGCTGCTGGACATGCAGTCTGTACCTGCGGGTCAGGAGGGTTGGCTGGCATTTGATGTGACTTCTGCAAGCAATCGCTGGCTTCTCCATCCTCGGAGCAACCTGGGCATCCGCCTTTATGTGGAAACTGAGGAGGGTGAGCTATTTTTTACGTATAGTATGGAGACGCACTTGAAACAACCCCCACAAACGTTGCTGAGGGCGCATGCAAATACTACTAAATGCTGCCTTTACAAATTGGCAGATTTATATTTGATATTAAGATGCATTTTCATTCTTCAAAATAATTTACCTAATATTCAACAGAAGATAGAAACTCACAAGTTTAAAACCACATGAGGGGGAAAATGAGGCAATCGGGTGAACTCTTTTATGGATCTTTTTTATCTACTTTAATTAGCATGTACAGTATCTTAAATGTATGATATTTCAATTGAATATATTTGTGGAATAAGCTTATTTAATGTACATTGATATGAGACCATGAAAAACATCAAGAGAGCAGCAGCAGCCAAAACTACACCAAATGTTGGTGGTTTGTTCTAGAATCAGGATTAGTAACAGAACATTGTACTTTGTACTTTGTTTAAGTGTATAATTTTCAAAACCACTTTCTAATTCAATAAATCAGTTTAGTTGATCTGCAGTATATACAGTGCTCAATATATATGAGCTGAATTATTTAAATATTCAATATTTCAGGAGTAATTAATTGAATTAATTAGAACCAATTATTTCATTTACCAGAAACAAAAATATATAACACACACACACACACACACACACACACACACACACACATATATATATATATATATATATATATATATATATATATATATATATATATATATATATATATATATATATATATATATATATATATATATATAAAAACACTGAATTCATACAGAATATAACACTGAATACAGTTTTTTTTGTGTGTGCCACCCCAAGATTTGGTGTGTCCTCTTCTGGCTACCCCTAAGAAAATTTTCTGGGGACGTCACTGGTTAGTACACAGGGTTACAGTGTAACCTGCTCACCTAATGTTTACATTAGTAATACTTATATCGATTGCTAATTTATAACCTCATGTGGAACTCTGAATCTGCGTCTCATTTTGGAGTCTGCTGCTGTCCACCGGAGATCGAATCTCAGTCACGGACACATGCTTTTAGAGCCTTTCTGAATGAATGAATCAAATATACGGTTTTCCACCAAGACACCAAGGTGCTGAAATATAATTGGCTAAACTGGCATTGTGCAGGTTAAACTTACTAAAACAAAGACAGACATTCAGGCACGTAAAACACATTTTCAAAGCAGAATATCTGACTTCAGCAGTTTTTCAGATAAACAAGAATGTTCACTCAGCATGTTTCTGAAATACCTGCAAACATATAATGGTATTGTTATGCTTTAGAAGAGTCAAAAACGTACATACAGCACCTTTAAGACAACAGGTTTATCTATTTTTTTTTTTTAAGTAACTAATCACTTTTTACAGTGTAGTTTCCAAGGTCATTATTAAAGTGCTTAAATGTTTTCCCAGATCACAGGTCATGGGTGGGTCTGGTGGGTCGGCGTGGGCCTCGCTCTAAGCAGCCGTTCATGGTGACGTTCTTCAGAGCTAGTCAAGCCCCTTGCCGCCCACCGCGTGCTCTGAAACACACCAATCAACGCAAGAAAAAAACTAAGTATGACCTGCCACACCCAAACAGACCCGGCATATTTGGTGAGCCACATTAAGCGGTTTAAGAGGCAGACTGTGTTTACAGGAGTGTATGAAATGATTTGCCTTTGAGCTGTGATCTTCTCACTTATTCCAGACCAAAATCATAGCAGTGGACGGCAGGCCTGTAAGAAGCATGAACTCTACGTCAGCTTCAGCGACCTTGGCTGGAAGGTGAGAAATGCTGGCTTTTCTACATTTGTTAGACATAGAAAAAGATCTTTAAAAAAAACAATAACAACATTGATTAATATGTTTTGCTCACCAAGAGGAAACAACTAGAGCAAAAAAAAAAAGTCAAAACTATTCGCCCTCCTGTGAATTTCTTTTTCAAATATTTCCCAAATAATGAGGACATTTTCACAGTATTTTCTTAAATTTTTCTTCAGTAGAAAGTCCTATTTGTTTTAATAAGCCTAGAATAAAGATAGAATAAATGCAGTTTTACATTTTTTAAAAAGGTCAAAATTATTCATCTTAAGCTATATATTTTAAATGTCTTCAGAACAAACCATCATTACACTGATTTGCCTAATTAAACTAACATGCCTAATCAGGCATGTGATCAGCCGAGGACAAAAAAAAGAAGGAATATGAGACCCCCCTCCCCCCACCCCAACAAAAAAAATAAATAGAAAGGTATAGCAATACTAAATTCAAAATTGATAATTTATAATATTCTTTATACAAATATTTGATATTGGCCACACAGTTAATGATTATTTCTATTTTTTAATAGTCTTTAATTAGTTTAATAGTCACCTAAATAATATTTACAGTTTTTTACAATTGCTATGACACTTTTTTTCAATACATTTAACAAGTTTCCTAAACTTTTAACACGGTTAGCACAACATCCGTCTTCGTGGGCTATACAATTAACACATTTCTTGTTACTTTGACACAAAATGCATCCAGTTAACACAAATTTAAAATGCTTGAACTTCTTTTACACACAAACTCAACCAAAACCAAAACAATGTCATTTTACAGTCCAATTTACCAATGCTTTCACACAGTATGTCAGAACAGATAACATCATGTTCTAAATAGAACCTGTATAGGCTAAAGCCACAGTAAATAGCTGTTCATATTGTCAATTGAAACACAAATATATTCCCTGTATATATAGATACAGAGTTCTGTAATGTGCTCACTGTTCCTTTCAAAAACCTCATATATATATATATATATATATATATATATATATATATATATATATATATATATATATATATATATATATATATATATATATATATATGACAGCTCCCATCTCCCATATGAACATGATTCCCATATAGAAAGCACACTCATGGGTTGAGATTTTTCAAATCACATGATCATTCTGTATGTTCTAAAAAAGGACTCATGAGGTTTTTGAAAGGAACAGTGAGCACATTACAGAACTCCATCACCAATACGCCCAGATAAGATTATGCAATACAGTCATTACTTTACTATGCACAGTGTGTTTTGCAGTAACCTACTCTTCAAACTTGGCGTTCATTAGTACATACATTAGTTATAGTACAGTGAACCATTTACACTGTGTCTAATTACTTTTAGAGAGTCATGAAATTGGAGGTCAATCAAGTCCCACATGAAATTATCTATGTTGACGAGACTGGCTTCAACTTGGCGAAAAGGCGTCGCCGTATGAGAAACATAATAGGCCATAGGGCCATCGTTACCATGCTGGGCCAGAGAAGAAGTCGGGCAAATGCAGAATACCAGGCAGAATAGAAAATTATTTAGTTTTTTATTATACTTAATTGCGTTGCTTTTTCTGTTTGTATATCTTGCAGTGATGTCCTTTTCCAAATAAAGTCTGTACTGCAGCAATTCTGTGTCTGTATTTTTTACATCAACTGTAAATTTTATAAAGCAATTTTTTTTCTTTTTTTTGTATTGAATTTTTGTAGTAAAATAAAGAAAATGCATGCATTTACTAAACCCAACAAAATGAAAATGTAGAGAGTCTTAAAATATAAGGGCAAAGCTAATGGAGTTTCTGTAATGTCAGCTGATGATAGTGTTTTTATTGTCAGTGTGTTCTGATTGACTGAATGTTTCTGCTGGAAGAGAACGTGTGTTTGTGTTTTGAACAATTATGTCATTTTGAAACATGTTTACAGTGTTTTGTTAGACATGGTGTAGTGTGTTCGTTTATTATTGTATTTTGAAAAGAAGTTTAGAGGTTTAGTTTACAATGTGTGATTTTGAGCATAAAATTAACTGTTTTGTCAATTTTGTGTTTTAGGTGTGTTGCTGCGTTAAGAGTTTAGCAAACTTGTTAAATGTATTGAAAAAACTGTCATAGCCATTGTAAAAAACTGTAATAGGTCTACAATTTGTACCTCCACGTCGTGACAGTTCCACACACCACCGATAGATGGCGCCAGTAACACGGTTTAGTGCTCGTGTCCACAGAATATAAATGTTTCTGTAATTTAGTGACTTTTTTTCCACATGATAAATAAACTACAAGTCAGTCAGCAATCTGAACTGTTTTAATCCATTAAATTGTTTAAAGGCCTTAAATAAAATACATGTTGATACATTTGTAATATCAATTGACCTTACAAATCATTCAGGTATTAAATTTCAGGTGCTAGGGTGTAGCACTGAGTAAATGAAGACATAAGGACAAGTGACTAGCTGAAGATCATAGAAAATGAGCGTCTTGGCTTTATTTATAATGTACATAGTACAAAAAACAAAAAAACAACCACAAAAAAAACACATAGTACAAAAAGTCCACAGCCGCACACGCATTTAAATCTTGCATATTGTAAGTGGATTCCTCATCCGCTGACATCATAGGACTACATGATATTATTACTTTATATACACCCAGGGGCGTAGCAACCGAGGGGACGGGGGGGGGGGGGAGAGATACGTCCCTCTCACTTTTAGAGACAGACCATTTAAAAACATGTGATTAATAGTTATATGAACGTAAACTTTTGGATCTCATTCAGCTACCCCCCCCCCCCCCCACACACACAAACGTTTAAAATGTCTGCTACACCCTTGTATACACCATAGCCTAGTAGGTCTACATCCCTGAATGACGTTACTGCTCCTTGAGCACAATGAATAACAATGAAGGTGCAAACCATCAGGTCGTCTCCTTTTATGATGATGATGATGAACCTCATTAAGACCCAGCCACCCCCCACCCCTTTTGTTTGTCCACAGTTTGAACAAACACACATGTGGAGTAACAAAACATCATCTGCTTTGGCCATTGGAGTGTATATAATTTATATATATATTAATGTATATTTGTTTTTCAGGACTGGGTTTTGGCCCCTACAGGTTATTCTGCGTATTATTGTGACGGGGAATGTGATTATCCTCTGGGCTCTTGTATGAATGCCACAAACCATGCCATGATCCAGCTGCTGGTACGTGATCTGTACTTATAATGTTTCTTTATCAGATTACAAAATGAACTATGGGGCGGCATGGTGGCTCAGTGGTTAGCACTGTCACCTCACAGCAAGAAGGTTGCTGGTTTGAGTCCCAGCTGGGTCAGTTGGCATTCCTGTGTGAGTTTGCAAGTTTTCCCCATGTCGGCCTGGGTTTCCTCTGTGTGCTCTGAATTGTCCCACAGTCCAAAGACATGCGCTATAGGTGAATTGAATAAACTAAATTGGCCGTAGTGTATGTGAGAGTGTTTCCCAGTGAATTTCATATTTCCTGTGTCAATAGTAGCCATGAAAGGAAACATTAAAATATGGATATTAACAATTTGTAATGCCTAGTTACTTTTCACCCACCCTGTATATTTGTGTGTGCCTCCTGTCTCTTTTGGCAGGTTCATCTTCTGAGACCAGATGAAGTGCCTAAAGCCTGCTGCGCTCCAACCAAACTCAGTCCCATCGCTGTGCTCTTCTATGATGACAACAACAACGTTATTCTAAAGAAACAACGAAATATGGTGGTCAAGAATTGTGGCTGTTTATAGCCCCTCACGCATTCATGTTTTAAATCTGACACGATGTAGATTTGTTATAATACTCACAGCCACCATTTGTAATATACAGTCATTAAAATATTATATAGCCAAACGAGCGCTTCTGCCTGTCCCAAATGATTGACAAATGATATTTATTAAAGCGTCATGATGGTTTATCAGCATGTGACCATTTTTTGGAGGATTTAAGAGAGAATTTAAGGTTGGAATCCATCCCATAATAAAAATCTACTTTTCACATACAAGCTGTCTAATTGTGCATATGTAGGAAGTAGACAAAAGCTGGGGTGTTCATTTTACAAAAGCTTGTTGCTTTGACCATCACATCCACTTTTTTTTATTTACCACACACAAAGTTTATCATTTACTTTGTTAGCTCACATTGCTCATTTTGATGTGAATATTTAACCTGTGTGTGCTTTTGGGGATATTTTCATCCACTCTGAGGTAATTGAGGCTTAATTTGGCCACAACTTTTCCTGTTTCAGCAAAAGGAATGATTTTCAGTGATAAATCGTATTTTGAGACATAATTGGGGGAAAAAAAAGCTTTTTTATTATTCAACAATACACAGAAGTTTCTTATCCTTGCATTATATTTGTGGCTGTTTTTGGCCCATTGACTTCCATTATAATAACATTTTTTGATTGCAAAGCCCTGAAACCATCTAGCATTCTATATGAGTTCACACAGCTGATGATTGATGATAAAGCTCGTTTTTGACATGCTGTCCCATTTGCAGGGCGTGAGGGGAGTTTGAGCTCAGGTAGATGTCGATGAACATTGCTTTGGGAAGGAGGGTATTCTCCAAGACGAAGATATTGAGAAAAGAAAACTCTGGTTATTTATAGTGAGTTAGGAATCGTCTGATTGGATAATCAATCATGAGGTGATGTTGGACCAGCTAAGAACAATCATAAGCACGTGATCCTCTCAAAATTTGTTTATAAATAAACTTCATTTATAGTTGCTGTTTTTTTACTGTTGGAAAGTGGTAAAATTCTTATTGTTGATCCATGGCATTGCAAAAAAAAAAAAAAAAAAAAAAAAAAAAAAAAGCTTTCTATATGAAGTATAGTAAGGGTGTGTGAGAGAGACTTTTGTGCACTTATTTTAATATGTCTGAGAAAATCAAAATAGGTAGCTCTGGGGTCCATTCTTTGTACCTCAATTAAAATAAAACGATTTCTCAGATCCTGGACTCAGATTAAAATGCCTGGATGAACCTATAATATAGTAGCCTAAGGCTATTCAAGTTTCTTAAGCTGCGTAAGGAATAACTGGCAGTTTCAAGTAATTTTGCATTAAAAAAAATCAATAAAAGTGTCAGCAACTTATTCAAAGCATCAAATCATCATCATATTAGTCGTCAAAACACGTGCATGACTGCATAAATTATTATTCATAAAAAACAAAAAACAAAAAAAAACTGCTGAATATTGTTCATGTCCATTATCAAATATTATGCAGTTGTATCTAAAAGAGAACCACCCTGTGAAGGTTCTTGTACTTTTATTTCAGAGTGCAGACTGTATTCATATATATATATATATTTATTTATTTTACTTTTATTTCTTTAATATTGTACTATTTTCCCAAGTGCGTATAACAGGGTTCATACACATTTTTACTACTAAAATTCCATGACTTTTCCATGAGTTTTTTTTTATATATATTTTTTTAGATTTTTTTTTTAATTTAGATTCAGTTTATATTTATATCTATGTAAAATTGATTTAGATTATGCTTACACCGCACTAATAATGCGAGTATGTATTTGGTCAAGGACAGAAAAGTAGTAAAAACAACTAACCTATATAGGTTACTTATCTGTTTTACATGAATTTTCCGAAATTGTGGATTTTTCTGATTTTTCAAAACATTTCCAGGCCTGGAAAATGCCATGTCAAAATTCCATGACCTTTCCAGGTTTTCCATGACCATATGAACCCTAATATAACTACTACTGTAAGGAAATTTCAGCATTTAGTACATGCTGTCAGTATTACCTTTTCTTGAAATGCCCAGATCTAATCCTGTTTATGTGAAATAAGCCTGCTCCCGAGCAGGTTTGAGCTGCCTGACCTGTTGCTATGACAACAACTCTTGAATAAATTTTTAAAAACGAAACGATCCTGGATCATGTCAAATCATCAATAACCAAATCCAGCTAGCTTGATTAATCTACATACAAAGAACTGAGCTCTCAGAACACAGTTAACATAGAAAGTGTATTTAAATGCACACACACTATAATCTCCTGTATTACTCCATATTAAAGCAAGAATATTTTTGCGCAGGCCTATCTAAAAGGCTGCCAACTGATGATCAACAGTAAAAATGACTCATTTGACCTCTTTCCAACAAGAAAACAATCAATAATGTACGAATATATCCTGTCATGGCTAAACCTCTGACGTATGGCCTATAAGCTAAACCTAAAAATTGGTTTCCGCTCAAACAAAAATAATGTTATTATATCAACAATGACACACACATTTGGACCACTATATGCATATACATTTATTGAAAACGTTAGAAAACAAAGTAACAAAAGCATATTTGTGGGTCCCGACTCATTATACTGAATGCTAGAACAGGTGCAAATTTTTGCATTTGTGATCATTTTAAGCATGTCAATCAATGCATCTCAATCCCAATCCTAGTCAATGCATAATCGTAATACACAGTGGTGCACCTTTCTATTTTGGTTCACAGTTAAAAGATCAGGGCACGTACATTTTTATGGATTGCAGCACCTAATATTATTTTAAAATATAATCTTACTTTACAGGGATGAAGCGCCACAGGGTATTGGAAAAGTGGTGAATAAATATGGCGAGATACAGAACATGGCAATGAGACTGTCAATTCACCGCACACTTGAAAAGATGGAAGCTATATGCACATATAAAAATATCAACAAAAAAGAAAGAAAAGAAAAGAAAAAAGTGTGCTGGTGTGCTCGAGTTCACCCCAAGATCTCCTTTGTAATGGCATCCACGTGGTCCATGTTTGTGAAATACATCAAGTCAGTCAGCTGAGTCGAATAACATTTCTTTCTCCAGGGTCTGAAAAAGGGGGACAATCATTCATAAGTTCAATCCCAGCGTTAGAGTTGCGCAATTTATTTACAGTACTTTTAGGTTTGATTCTCAATTACATCATAGAAACATTTGTATTAGACTCACCTCTGCGTTAGGTCTATGTTGGTTTCTTACATCCTTTAGGCTTGAACATCTGCCAGCTCAGCAGGCATGGGGGACTTTGGGTGTTTACTTTCAAAATGCTGTTTAAATGTCTTGGGGTCTGGCATCTGTGTCTATACAATATATATATATATATATAAAAAAACATTTCTCAGCAAGCATGCACAGAGACGATTGGGAACAGCTACTTTTCTTCATTAGTACAAGAAAACGCTGAAAATATGGTTCTTGGTGATTTATAAAAAGTCATGGCCATCAGAAATTTGACAATCTAAAAAGCACATACAGGTCAGGGTTGTCAAAAGTTGAGTTCACTATCAATCGGTACTGTAATTTTTTAAACGTCCATGTCCTACTAACATTTAACTGCTGCGCTTGCTCATTTCTGGTGAGAGCATGATCATAATGGCCAATCAGCATTGCTTAAATGCGCTCAACAGTGCTCAAATGATAGTGGAAAATTAACATTTTTAGAAATTCAATACAGATTGGTAGCGAACTATACTTTTGACAACCCTGATACAGGTAAATATAAATTAAAATATGTGACTCATGGTGAAATACTGCAATCTTTATTAGTGAAAGTAACTTTCAATGTTACATTAATAAGCCCTGTTATCAACAAAGTAGAGTTGTTAAATGTATTGACTATGGTACCAACTGGAACTAAAATAAAATAATAATATATTAAAAAAGTCAATTTCCTGCTAACATTTTCAGCTGATCAATCTATGAGCTAACAAATGAATGATCCACTGATGGGTCAACGCAGCTGTGAAATGGCCCAGTGTCTCTGTGTTTAAACTTGCCAGATTACTGAGATCAATGGCCAATCAGCTGTTTATGAACGTGCTCAACAGCACTCAAATATTTGCATGAATTGGACGTTTTTACAATTCCAGTACCTATTAGTACAGAGGACAATATTTTTTAAAATCTACAACACCTAGGCAGATATCCCTGAGCATGTTCATGCCAGCCAACAATGAAGTATGAGAGGGCAATAACTCTTGCGCTGATGCTGTTGGTTTACAATCGCATACACGAGTTGTATTTTAAATAAACGCATATCATGGATGTTTATATAAAAAAGTTTGTCAAGATTAAAGGGTTAACCAAAACTGAAAATTCAGTTTTTAATCACTCACCCTCATGTTGTTTCCAATCCCCTGCAATGTTTTGTTCATCACAACACAATTAAGATACTTTAGATTAAATCTAAGAGCTCCCTCATCCTCCATCGACAACAATGGTCCCAAGACATTCAAAGTCCAGAAAAAGAACCAAAAACTGTCAAAATATTTCATGTGACTTCAGTGGTTCAGCGGTAATCATGTGTGCCGAACAAAATAACTTTGTTATCTTATGTCTTCCACATCAAATCAGGGTGCGTGTTTAATATACAATGCTTACATTTGCAATACAACACTAGCGAGTTGCGCTGCTGACTCTAATGTCAATGTCATATTGCCCATAGTTAACCTGATGAGCAAGAGAAGGTATAGGTGGACAAAGTCATATTTACAGTTTTAAGACGGACAAGTGTTTTAGAGCTTCATATGATTACAGTTGAACCACTGAAGTCACATAAAATGTTTTGGATTCTTCTTCTGGACTTTTAACATCTCGGTACCATTGCAGTCTACAGAAGAGGAAGAAAAAGCTATTAGATTTCACCTAAAATATCTTAATTTGTGTTCCTAATATTCACAAAGGTCTCAGGGAATTGCTACAACATGATTAATTGAGTGATTAATAATTTTCATTTCTGGGTAAACTAGCCCCTTAATAATTTTACAAATCCTCAGTTTCTTGCAGTTCTCATTATCAGACATGAATCAGGGTTTCTACAGGTTTCATCAAGTCAAATAAGACTTTTTAAGACCATAATAATGAATGAAGTTTCAGACTTGCACAAGGCTAACACTAAAGATTTTTTCAATAGCTAGGTTAAACCTTAAAAAAAAAAAAACCTTAAAAACAAGTGTTATTGTAAGGAAATAATTAATCCAATGTTTACTTAAGTAAATAGA